GGGGGTTCACCAGTTCACTCCTGCGAGTCAGCGAGTGACTCACTGTACGTGTGCTCGGACGGGCCGACACCTGGCCACGTTTACCCGTGCGCCTGGCTCGAGTCTGTACACACTCACCACTGAGTCCCCTCAGGTAGCTGCGTCTGCGTCTGTGTCTGGTCAGCTGGCGGCCCCTTGCGAGTGTCGCGCTTTGTCGCACGACACTCTCCTGTGGTGCCACCGCCATGGCTGCACAGGAGCTACGCTGGCTCACCTACCTGCTGACTGACTTGGGTGAGCGGCCTCGTTCTCCTCCAGTTCTGTACGTTGACAACAAGGCGGCCATTGCCTTGTGTGAGGAGCATAGACTGGAGCACAGAACGAAGCACATCGCTCTGCGTTACTTCCTGGCTCGAGAGTTGCAGCAGCGAGGTCAGCTTCGTCTTCGTCACGTGGCCACTCGGGCCAACACTGCTGATATATTCACCAAGGCACTTCCGTCTGGTGATCATCAGCGCTTTTGTACCCTATTAGGTCTTGTGCCTACGTTTCCACACTTGCTGTAGTCTCTGTTTGTACTGTGATCTATATATATACATGCATGCCTGCTCTTGCTAGGTAGTCATCACTGTACTGTTATTGCTGCATATATATCTTTGCATGTGGACTGGCCTTGTGGCCCTTTGCTTGTGCTCAGAATGTGTGGTGACGTTGTGATCCACCCTGAGCTTGCTTTGCGTCTCTTGACTGGTCGTGTGACCCCTTGTTCTCCCCCACTTTGCCTATGGGGGTGTGTCAAACATATATGCTGCATATTGTCTAGGCTGTAGTGGGGTAGCCCATATGGGGTACAACCCAATTAGGGTTTACTACTTGTACTCCTGCATGCTGCTAGTTCATCATTCCTGCAGCTAGATTCTGACACTTCGGGACGCTGGAAAATGGAGATGGGGCTGCGCGGGCTCGGTGCGGGCAGCGCACGGCAGCAGGGGGCCTGACGGGCCTGTAGGGGCGGTTCGCGGGCCTGAAGGGCTTGTAGGGCCGGCTCGTGAGCCTAGGGCAGCAGGAGGCAGCGCTAGGGCTGCTGGACGGCGCGCGTAGTGCAGCACGTCACAAGGCAAGGCAAGGCAGGCAGGTACGTGGGGTAGCGCGGTAACCGCAGCGGTAGGTGGGCCCGAAAAAAAACGTTCCTACGGACCTTAGTGCTCTCGAACCATGTTAGAATCTAGCAGCAGGAATGATTGAACTAGCAGCATGCAGGAGTACAAGTAGTAAACCCTAATTGGGTTGTACCCCATATGGGCTACCCCACTACAGCCTAGACAATATGCAACACATATGTTTGACAATCTGGACCGTCGGAGCAGACAGCATCAGGAAGCTGCAATCATGAGGATTTTGGCGGGAACAGTTTCGTAACTGTACGCGCCGCACGGTTGGGAATGAATTTGAATAAGGGAATGTACCCCTTAGAGTACATGGCTAGCTAGGTCGATTCGTCTTCCCTGTACTCATATTTATATTTGCTGTATTTGCATGTTTTAATTCATCTCAAGCATTTTACATTCACTCTGCTATTGAGGTCCACCAACACTATCTATCTGCGTGCGAACCTTCCCGAGTAGATCCTGGCAGCGATCAATTTCTGATCGTAGTAGTAGGGTGTACTGATAAATAACCCCCGTTAGGGGGGTGTTCAATTATTGGGGGGGGGGGGGGGGGGGGGGGGGGGTGTAAGACTTCACCCATTGGTGTCATATAATGACAGTTTTTAATATGAGAAAACGCAAGTTTCTTGTACTCAGCTTACTCTGTTTATCGAGTTGAGAATGGCTCGAACTGCGCACAGATTGCGAGCCACGTCATGCTGACTCAATGGCAGGCTCCTCACACACGCCTGAATCGATCGAAAGTAGTTCCCCAGCGTCGCGCGAAAACGTTTCAGGGGTTGACACATCAGGCCTGTTAAAAATGCCCTCGGGATTCACATCTAGTGAAGGGAAGGGTGTACTCATAATCAGGGCTGACGTTTCATATTAGGCCCCCCTGATTCCGGGGAAAATTTCCCCCCTCGATTATGAGTGCACATTTTTCAGAATGATGCTACCCTGATTGCTCAGGGTTCAAAAGTATATAACTCTGCTTGTTCAGGGGCGAAAATCGAAGTTCAGAGTAGTAACGCGCTCTTTATTACTGGGGAAACAATATTGCTCTGCGTGAAGTGCGCTCTGTGTTTCGAGCACACTTTGAGCGCGCTAAATTCCAACCGTTTAGTTTGACAAAATAGTATTTATCCACACGTTTAAGTGCGGGGAAGAGATGAGCGATTTTGGTCAACAAAACATTTCGATTCGATACCACAGATGTGCCAAATTTCGCCGAGTACCTAAATGTCGTCAACATCGCTGTGCGAAACCCAAAAAAGCGTTGGTAACTTCACGCACAAGCAATTACGACAGTACAACAACTTATTCGCAATTTGTGAAAGTAACAAACATCGAGTGTATTCGCCTGTCAGACATGATGCCGTTCTTCGCTTACGCGCTGGCTGTACTGCGATCAATCCGAAGGGGGATTATCGGAAGGAAATTTCCGAGAAACTTCTTACCGATAAGGTCAAATTCAGAGTCCACAGAACGCGTACTCTACATTGACAGAGTCAGTAAGAACACTACTCTGAGCCTAGATACAATATTTCAGGGTTCGCTAAAGCACTATTCTGAATGGATCAGTGTTCACACGTCGGAAATTCTGAAATTGCAGGGACCACCAGGTGAGAAGCCTGTAATCACCCTGAAATCAGGGTAATTACCCTGATAAAATCAGCCCTGCTCATAATTTCAAAAGATCTGGTGGGTGTTCTAACTGGTGTATTTTTCAGCACACCCACCGTAATTGAACACCCATGGGTGTTTTATTTTGGGGGGTGTACTATGCCGGGGATTACGGTATTTAATCGTGCAATTCTCATTGTGTCGTCACTCAGTAGTTCAGTATACTAGTTATTCGTTTTACTGCGCACTTTGCAAGTTCATTCATAACATGGGGTGTGTGGGGGTGGTGGGTTAGACATTTTTTACATACATGTAAAAGCTTGCAGCAGTATTTTTATTCCACCGCTATAGTGATAGAGCAATCAGACTATTTTTCTTTTCCTAATTTTCGATTGTGTACAACGTCTTTTGTGCTCCAAGATTATGTTATTTTTTACTAACCAGGTGTGCCATGTAAGCGACATGAATGTACAACCAGGTGTAACACACGGATAATGAAGATGCTCGTAAGGGCCTTTACTTTTACACACACGAAAGGCCAAGTTGTTTGGGACCACTCGAAGGGCCGTCTCTTTTGGGAAGCCAAAGAACAACAGATTCGACAATGCAAGTACACTCAATGATCCTTGTTACCTTAGTTCGGCCGCGTCAGCTCGTTGTTACCTTAGTTCGGTCGTTTTCAATCCGGAGAACGCAGTGAGCGGCCCACTCTGTTCAGTGTGCTCAATTATTTCGCTAAGAATGGGGGAGACGCGACAGGTGTGTGCTGAAAACGGGCAGTCGCAGGTATGACTCGAGCACAACAAGAGATATCTAGCAAACAAACACACTCTTTGTTTAGAACGTGCTATTGTATGAAACTTTCACTTGCCCGTTTACTGTTATTGTGTGATAAGGTTGCCAACGCAGGGGAAAAAAATGAGAATGGTACAATCAAATTGATAGTATAACGTTCATTGTGATTGTATACGAATCAAGTGTACTTTCAAGCGTTTACAGGATTGCACAGTACGACTGCAGCAACTGAGGCCCCCATCCGTGACGACTTCTTGTTCCCCTTGAATTCCTTGGTGTTGGCAGTTGAATTTCCTGACGCAGGCTGAGAAGTGTGGATGGAATCGCTTTTGTAGGAGGCAAGTGGAACTGCAATTGATACCGTACCAGGCGTAGTGTCTCGCAGCAGGTCCCCCCAATCAAAGTGGGAAAAACACAATTGATTGAGCTTACAATCTAAAGTTGTTTACCTTTGTGGGATGTCGCGGTCGGGTTCTTCTATCTTGAATGCACGGAAACAAGTTTATTCAGCCCCCGTAAATCTGAAAGTTCGTCCTGGTACTGACAGGGGTATTTGGCATGACATCAAGTTCCATCAAATCCATTTCTAGTGCAGCGAGGGACAAGTTCACGTGCAGCCAAATTTAAATGCAATGCCCGCGTGTCCACTCGTTGCAAGCCGCCATTGAAACCCACCAACCGTGCCCTCACACGCTCCGTCTCTTGTCTTTCCTGGCGGTGTGTCGTGGGCCGCGATCCACACTCCCCGCCGTGAAACAAATGTGTCTGCCCGAACGGTTCGGAGACACCAGCCAAACTGCCGACAGTGTCTGCCTACATACACCCAGTCCAGTAAAAAAATCATCGCTGGCATGGTTTTGATTGGGTCCGCCGACGCCAGCCACTTGTTCTCGCATGGACAGAAAGAAAATCCGCTTCGATTCTCGCGGAGCAGCGAGAGCTCCTCTACAGCGCGATTTGGCGCAAATCCCTTGCCTTGTGCGGACGCAAACCATGATGCATCAACCGCACTGCACATTTCTGAAGGTTCCCCTTCCCGCCAAGGTCCTTTCCCCCTTTCCAACCATCCTCCCCCCACCCCACCAGCCCCCCGCTTCCCCCAGGGCGCAACTCCCGCCTCAACCACCAGATTTCTTCGACCTTCTGCCCCCCCCCCCTCCCCCCTCTTCCGAAACAATCTCTCCTCGACTCCTCCCCTCCCCTCCCCTCCCCTTCCTCCCACTTCCAAGCCAACGCATCGAGTTTTGCCAACACATCAACGTCTCGTCGTCTTGAAGATCTCGCTTGGCAGAATCAGTTTGTTTGTTACCGTATTAAGTTTTCTCAGCAAGCTTGCTTGTCCAGTTTCGCTCAGCGCTTTTTCACCCAAGAGTTGTCAGATTGGAGCAGCTCAAGCCGAGCCGCGCACTCTCAACTCCTTGGCTTTTCGCACGCCCTTGGGTATCTCTCATAATGGTCGACCTCGTAGGGCGTTTTCAGAGTGACCTTGGCGCCGCGGGTCCGAGCTTGACTCTCGGGCCACCGGGGCGCTGGCTCGAGCAGTCTAATGTTACGGAATTGGAACTCGGCAAGCGCAAGGCTCGAGAAGTGCCCTCGCCGAAATCCCGACCTCAGGAAACAACATCGTCGGAAGAGTGAGTCCCGTGAAGCGGCAATTGTGGCTCCAAGTCGCTGAGACTCTACCGATCCATTCTAAAAATCTCTCCAGTTTCGCCCCTAACGTCGCCTGACTTTGCCTGTGCGCAGTGTGAGACTTTTGAGTCCGATGATTAAGAGCCCAGACTCTTCGAGACCTGCTCGGAAAAGGTGTGTCTCTTCGAGACTCTCTAATAGTGTTAGTTATGTGCTTTTAGGGTTGCGAATTTCAAGGGACGTGGCGGCGGAACGATTGCTTACGGAGTGCGTGTCTTGTTTGTTCACCTGTGACAGGTCGCGTGATGATCTGGAGGAAGCGGGGCTCAGCAAAGCACAACGAGAAAAAATGCGTCGCGACCGACTTAATGACAGGTACAATACGTGACGCGGCGCGTGACGCTCGGGGCTGTGGTATGTCCTTTGTCATCGTTACTACCAAGCGCCGCGTCGCGCGGACGTCCATTGCCATAATCACGGCGGTTTTGTCTCATCGACATTTATTGGTTGATTGAATTTTCTTTATTTCTCTCCCCCCAGGTTTCTTGAACTGGGTCGCGAGCTGGATCCCACCACGACTCCGCGGACGGACAAGGGCATTATTCTGAACAACGCCGTTCGTGTGCTCACTGGCCTCAAGGCGGAGGCTGCAGCTCTCAAGCAGGGCACGTGGCAGCTCCAGGAGCAGATCAAGGAGCTCAAGGTGAAAAACAAAGACAGAATGAGATCCTGATGTTTTTGTTTTGATCGTTGGTTTGTGTTTACCTTCTGAATCTCCATTGACATCTGTTCTGCACGTATCTCATACATTATTCTGTGTTTTCTCAGGCTGAGAAGTCCGAACTTCGAGACGAGAAGGCCCGCCTCAAGGCACAGCGGGAGTGCCTTCAACTGCAACTTCAAGCGTTGCCGCTTCCTACGCCAGATCGGTTTTCGTCCCCGGCCGCCGCCGCTGCTGCAGCTGCCGCAGCCCTTGCTGCACTTCAGGCTGCAGCAGCTGGTCCCATGTCCAACCATTTCGCTGTGAAGCCTCCAGCGTCCATACCTGCCGATGCAGCGCAGGCTCCGCCTGGTTCTGCGTGGCAGTGGCTTCAGTCGGCATCTGGGGATGTTAAGAGAGACCAGATCCTTAGGGCTCCAGTGGCATGACTGCACTGGCTCACCTTTTTCCATCCCCTATCTTGTGGGATGGTTGCTGTCCTTGGAAAAACGCCAGGCAAGGCGTTAATAGTTCTGTATAGTGGCTCTTTTGTGGGGTGGGGGGTGGGAGGAGGAGGGGGGGGTATTATTCAAAGCGTATATTTTTACAGTTCTTTTGCTGGTGGGGGGTGTTTTCGGGTAGCAACCAGCTACTGGTTGAGCTAGATACATCCCCTTGCCTGGAAGGTGGGAGGTGGGGTGGGAGGATGATTGTTAGACTTTTTCTTTTTCATCCTCTCAAATGGGATTATTGAGGCGTGTTCCATGTCACGGGCATATGTTTACTCCCTAACCTTCGTCACAAATCTTGAAGATAATTTTTCTGTTGGAGTGGCTGAGTGCCTGGCTCCACTCACGTTCTGGAAGGGTTTTGAGAAAAAAATCACCCACCTTGATGGTTTATGTCCCAGATCACTATGAGAGATGAAAGAATTTGGGGAAAAGGGCAAGGGAAATGGTTGGAGTTCCGCAGCGGAAGGAGAGAAGTGGGGAGGGGGGTGAGGGGCGGGGGGGGGGGGGGGGGTGGGGGGGGGAAGCAACGGGGATTGTTGGGGGGAGTGTTGAAACTGGGGCCATTCGGTCAGAAACAGCTGCCCCGCGTGCATGGGGCTTGTCTGCGCCTGTTTGGCCGCTGTGCTACAGTTTGCGCACGAGGGGACCCCCCTGGTAAGCCCGATTTTTGCACGTGGAGCTGCTTCGAGCCGTGGAAGGTGGCGATAAGGTTGGTCGAAATCATCCAATCAGCGCGGTTCAGGTTTCGCTTTCATGAGCTTCCTGGACCAATTCCACGGCAAAGGGCCGTGGAACACCGACGGCGTGTCCGCCTGGCACGCGTGTCCCTCACATCTAGCCCAGCTCCCAACCGCCGTCGCGTGCCAAGTATGGTTGGACGACGCTCACGATGTTCGCGAACAGATGGATCAATCCGAACAGTCCCCATGAGAATCGCTCTGAACCAATCTAGAGGGGGAAGAGCCGCGCCGCTGCATGGCTCTGCATTTGTCACCCTTTTCAAGCAGGATCCATCCACACGTCAACATCCGGATCCGCGTAAGCAACCAGTCGCCACACACGCTCCCGCACCAACGAATCCATTTTTGCGTGTGAACCTACGACCTAGAGGTGGAAAGGAGAGACGCCTCGGAGGAAGAGACCACGTACACGTGTACTGTACCGGTGATGTCCTTGGTTGGTCTGGTCTGGAAACCAGCTCAGGTCAACCACACCACACTTGCCTTGGAAGACAAACCCATCAAGAACCACAGCAGCACGTTTTTGCCGTACCGTCAGCTCTGGTCATGGACGCCAAAATTGTGCTGTTGTGGTTTTGCTTCCGAGCGACCACGTACGGTTCGACAATTGGTTTGTTGGCCCCGAACCACATCACTCATCAATCACACTAACGAAACCTCCTTCCTCCTCACTTACCACATGGGTGCTGCCTCTCACCCGCTAAGCCACGAAGCCGCAACACGAATCTAATTTTTGTGGGTCAGGAACCAACCTTCTGCATTCTGGAAACTCGAGCCTTTCGAAGAGCACTTGGCAACAGTTGTTCTCTTTTTCCTTTCCGAGGAACGTCTGTGATCCGTCTTCACCAAGTCGCCTCTTCCTGAACTAAAACAAGTTCAACACTCACGACAGTCGTCAACGTCTCGCAATGGATTCGTCTCGTTCGCTGACACTAGAAGCAGACTGTGCGCTCTCGCTTGGTCCCATGTGGCAATCACAAGACAGGCTTGAGAGAAGGTCAGCATATACACGGACATGATGGCCTGATGACCTGGTCCCGGGTTCGCCCTTTGTTTTTATGTCGGCCACACTGAAATTGTGTCTGTAGAGTGTAAATGACTCACTGTCGTTTCTCCCCATGCGTTTATTCGTGCGCGCCTGCAGTCCAGACTCCGCTGCTAGACAACACTCGAACGACGGCTTACCGGCTTCTAGAAAACGGTAAGACTCTCTTCCGTTGCTGCTTTGTTCAGTGAATGCTAGCACGTAGTATTCTAGTCAAGGAGGGGTTACCTGGAGCTTACTTTTTGTCCTTTCGTGTCGCTTTTCTCGCGCAGGGTTCGGGAAGATGGTGCTAGCGAGAGAGAAGTTACTTTCAGCAAAGCCACCAGGGAGAAGTTGCGACGCGATAGATTAAACGACAGGTACCGTTTATGGATCCTCTCTCCAACAGCTGCGCACGCAGTCCATCTCTGATCCAATTACTTGCACGCGGCCGTGCTTAGTTCCACACCTTCACTTCCGCAGTCGTCGGCGGTAGTCCATCAGCAGCGCGTTTCATGACGTCGCGTGTTTGTCTTCGTCACCCCTTACAGATTTCAGGAACTCGCGAGGGAGCTTGGTCCGTCAACAACTGTCAAGGTGGATAAGGCGGTCCTTCTGACGGAAGCCGTCCGGTTTCTCGTTCATTTGAGAGCTGAAGCCGCAAGCTTGTTGACGAGTAACCAGCAGCTCCAGGATCAAATCAAGGAGCTCAAGGTACCGATTGTGGGTTTCTTGCGTGTTTTGGCCTGCGAAATCGCATCTGTCATTTTCCCTCGAGGGATCTTTGGTGCTCGCTCTTTCTTCCTCAGATTTTATCGCGGCGGGGTGTATTAACGGCTCTTGTTCTTCCCGATGTGCAGGTTGAGAAATCCGAGCTGAGAGAAGAGAAAGCTCGGCTGAAAGCTGAGAGAGAGCGTCTGCGGAAAGAGCTCGATACCCTCACGGCACCAACCAGGACAAACGGTTTTTTAGGCCAGTCGTCAGCTGTGCATTTGCAGCCGTCGCATACAGTGCCGCGCGCACCACACTCCGCACATGAAACGTCCGTGAAGGTTGAAGCTGTGAGGTTGCCTCACCACAAGCACCTGCCGATGTGGCAATTCCTCCCATCCGCCGTGGCTGATGCATCTGGAGATCGCTTTTTGGCGCCGCCTGTGGCGTGATAGTGCCATCACAAGATTGGTAGCTTTTTTCAGTCTCAGTTCAGACGAGCTGAGATGTTATGAATTGTGCATACTGGGTATTGTTGTTGCTGTAGTTGAGGTTATGTAATGTAAGCTATACGCTCATTTAAAGAAATTCTGGGCCTTTCCTTAGCTGTGCCATTTTACGGAAAGTGACCAGTTCGGATATTACTGCATACGCTTCCATACTGTACCCTACAGTAAAACATCCCTATAATATTCTTAGTGAAACTCACTTCCTTACTGTAGTCGCACTTGCTTCATGAAACAGCAGTCACAACATTCCTACAATGGTGCGCTACAATATTCCTCACTTCCACTGGCTTCATGAAACAGCAGTCACAACATTGCTCTTCTCGCTCGCTTGCCCTAATCGCACTACCGCTGTCCCAGCAGAAGAGCCTGCAGCACCTAACGCCTCCCCCCCACGATGACCACTACCAGTGCCAACTGCTAGCCCTCCTCCCCCCACGCCTCCCTGCTGTAGCTGCTGCTGACCTACAGGCGCTAGCGCACCATTCACATCACCACCAGGCCCACCGGCCAATGGCATCGCAGCTCCAGAAGGATCAACGGCTGCGGTTGCATCTGGTGGCGGCAGTGCGTGGGGAGCAAGTCCCGAGGGTGGCAGAGGGAGGGCGGCGGCAGGGTGTGTGGAGGGACCACCTGGTGCTGCCTTGGTGCCGTTCAGCCGCTCCTGAGAGGATGCAGTGGGATGGAGTGAGATGGAGCAGACGAGTGGATGAGTGGACGGGTAAAGGAGAGTGGTTCAGCGGAGGGCATGGATGGGGTGGGCGGAGCGGGTGGATGCGTTGACTCGATGAATGGGTGGGATGAATGAATGGAGTGGATGGGCATGGGGAGAAAAGAAGAAAGTACTGCATCATCTTTCACAACAGCGCAAGTGCATAGCCCATCTTTCTCCACCGCTTGGTCCCACCCCTTTTGACCGCTCCCCACCCACCCACCCACCCACCCACCCACCCACCTGCAGCAGCGCGTTCTGCTGCGCCACCTTGTGGCACTCCTCCTGCATGCGCTGCAGCTCCACCTTTTGAAAACCTCATCCACCCACCCAACCACCCAACCAACCACCCAGCCAACCAACCAGCCAGCCAGCCACCCCAACGTTCTTCCACCCACCTGCAGCAGCGCGTTCTGCTGCGCCATCTTGTGGCACTCCTCCTGCATGCGCTGTGGTGTGATGCATCCTCGATCGTGCATGCCCCACCATTCCTAACCCCTTCTGACCACCATGCACACACCCCCGCCCATCCACCCACCCAACAACACACCCACCTGCAGGAGGGCGTTCTGCTGCGCCATCTTGTGGCACTCCTCCTGTATGCGCTGCAGCTCCGTGCACCACCGTTCCCCACCCCTCTTGACCACTACCTACCTACCTACCCAACCACCAACCGACTGACCTGCAGGAGGGCGTTCTGCTGCGCCATCTTGTGGCACTCCTCCTGCATGCGCTGCAGCTCCACCCGAATCGTCTGATTCTCCTCCGTCAGCGCACGCACCCGCCCCATCAAATCCTCACACTCCGCCTGGCGGGAATGAAGGGGGAGGGGGAGTGGGAGGGGTAGGGGGAGGGGGTAGGGTGTGGAGAAAGGGGTCAGTGAAGAGATTGGCAGGCGGGCAAGGCAGAGACAAGAGACAAAGGTTGAGGAAAAGAGGAAACAAGCTCCACTTGAATCGTCTGATTCGCCTCCGTCAGCGCGCGAACCCGCCCCATCAGATCCTCACACTCCGCCTGGCGGGAATGAAGGGAGAAGAGGGGAAGAGGCGAAGAGGGGAAGAGGGGAAGAGGGGAAGAGGGGAAGAGGGGAAGAGGGTTCAGTTCAGAGTTTTTTTTAGAATTCTCAAAAACACCCTGTAGCATCATGGGTTCAGTTCAGAGTAGGAGGTGAGGGATGAGTGCAAATATGCCCGCACCCACCCCATCCGATCCTCACACCCCGTCTGGCGGGGACAAAGGGACGAGAGATTGGAAGGAGGGCAAGGCAGAGACAAGAGGCAGAGGTTGAGGCCTAATAAGTGCTGATGTGGCGAATTCTGGAGCTGATGTGGCGAAATTCAAAACTGATGTGGCGAGATCTGGAGCTGATGTGGCTAGACGAGCGGCTGACGTCACCCCCCTCTTTGCCTCCCTATCCCTTTCCCTCCCAGACCCCTAGGCCCCCACACCCCCCCCAGGCATGAGTCATGACCCACTTGCTTGCGCAGCCACGACCGCCGTGCCGACTCTCTGTTAGACTGCTTGCTGCTCCCTGCTCACCCTAGCTCTCAGCCATCCACCTGCCAACCCCCTTTGGCCACACACGCACCTGCTTGCGCAGCCGCGACCACCTAGCCCACTCTCTGTTATACTGCTTGCCTCTCACCCCACTCCCTCCCTCCCTCCCTCCCTCTTTCCCAGCTACCCACCCCCCAGCCCCTCCCACCACGCACCTGCTTGCGCAGCCGCGACCGATGTGCCGACTCTCTGTTATACTGCTTGCCTCTCACCCACCTTCCTCACTCCCTCTTTCCCAGCTACTCCCCTCTTCCACACACCTCCCTCCCCAGCCCCTCCCACACACACACCTGCTTGCGCAGCCGCGACCGCCGTGCCGACTCTCTGTTGGACTGCTTGCGGCGCTGCTTCTTCACCTCACGGTCGTCCTTCTCCCACACACACAGAGAGGAGAAGAAGGGGGGGGGGGGGGGGGGGGGGGGGAGGGGGGGTCATAACATAACCCGCTGTTGAAGCGCTGACTCTCTGTTGGACTGCTTGCGCCGCTGCTTCTTCACCTCCCGGTCGTCCTGTTAGTGCACACACAGGGGAGGGGGAAAAGGTGGGGAGTGGGAGGGAGTAGGGGGGTCATAACATAACCCGCACGTGGACTGTTGACTTGACTCTCTGTTGGACTGCTTGCGCCGCTGCTTCTTCACCTCACGATCATCCTGCCCCCACACACACAGAGGAGGACGGAAAAAGAAGGGGGGGTGTAACATCACCCGCTGTTGGACTGCTTGCGGCGCTGCTTCTTCACCTCAGAAAAAGGAAAAAGGGACTCTGATTGAGAAAGAAAAGCGAAACTTAAATCGAGACAGGATAAAATCAATTTCTACTGAGAGTGAGGACAGAAATTCAGAGTGAGGGAGGGAAAAGAAATTCAGAATGAGGGAGGAAAAAGGTATGACCACATTCCCATTCCCCCTCCCCCGGATTTTATTCAATCGATTCAAGAACCGGCTCAATACACCGGAATGTTGCTTGGCAGGGAAAAGCTACTCACCGAGTGCACCCATAAATCTGATGTCATCCCCATCCCTCCTCCTCCCCCCGCCACTGCACCCCGCTTCTTCCCAGCCACCGCCCCCCCCGCGCCCCCAGCACCACCCCCACCGCTACTGCCACCAGCAGCAGCACCCATCCCCCCGCCAACCATCCCCCCAGCTCCCCCTGCCGCCCCAGCCGCCCCCCCGCCCCCCCCACCCCCGGAATCCCCCCCATTCCGCCTGCCATGCCCACCCCCTGCCCCCCCGGCCCCATCTGCCCTGCTGCTGCCGCTGCTGCTGCTGCTTGGTGCATTTGAGCCTGAGCTTGCGCCTGGGCCTGGGCTTGCGCGGACCAGTAGTCTATAGGCACCATTCCCCCCATCTCCCCCGCTTCCCCTGCCTTTCCGCCAGCGGCCCCCCCTTCCTGCAAAAGGGGGAGGTGGGGTGGGGGAAAGAGGGGAAGGAAGGGAGGACGGGAGAGGGGAAGAAGAAGGAAGGGTAGAGAAGAATAAATAAGAAAGGGGAGGTGCAGTGGAGGGGAGGAACGGGAGGAGGAGGGAAGGGAAGACGAAAATAAGAAGACGAGTTATTATTGTGCTGGGTGACTTTTGAGTCAACTCGGGGACGTGGAGCCTGTCCTCGGTACTGTTGTTACCCCTCAACCCGTCCCTCTCCCTCAAGGAATCCATCTCCCTTTTTGGCGTCATCATCACGGCATCATCACACACCCAGCAGCACACGCACCTCATTGTGGTCTGTGCCCTCGTCCTCCTCCGAATCATCCTCCCCTCCACTGCAATGCCATTGCCACCACACAACAAGGATTGGCCAACCAGTGTTGGTTAAGCAAGGGGTTGGTGGTGTCAGCAGGAGATGGTGACGCAAGCAGGTGTTGACAGAACGGGGTAAAGACGAGTGATGGAAATGGGATGGGGATGGGGCGAACGTGTGTGAGTGGATGGGTGGGCGAGAGCAAGAGAGTGACAGAACGGAAAAAAGACGTGGAAAAAGAGAAATGCTATCAGGATCTCCTTATTCCCACCACCCACCCACCCACCCACCCACCCACCCACCCACCCACCCACCCGCCCACCCGCCCACCCATCCCTGCTCCCAAACACCCCATCCATGCATTCACCACCCCCTCACACCCCCAAACCCACCCACCCATCCACACCCCTCTCCATCCCTGCACACACCTGGTGGAGAACACGCCATTCCCTGACTGCAGCTTTGACCCCTCTGACGTCATCCCGCCCCCCAGCCCCACCCCTCCTCCGCCTCCGCCTCCCCCTCCGCCTCCCCCTCCCCCTGCGCCCATAGCCCCCCCTTCCCCAGCCTTTGCGCCCCCTCCATCTTCCCCAACCCCTACCCCTCCCCCTCCCCCCGCCCCCCCCGCGCCCCCTGCTGCTGCCGCACCCCCCCCATCCCTCTGCTCCGCGTGCATTGCCACTGGCGGCATGCCTGGCGCCATGGCCTGGGGAAGGGAGGAAAGGGAGGAGCGGGAAAGGGGAGGGGAGGCGGACAGGGAAGCGGCACGGGTGGGGGGGAAAGGGAAGGCGGGCACAACACAAGAATGAAGGCGTGTCATTGGCTTGGCCCCCTTCTCTCTGCTCCGCGTGCATTGCCACTGGTGGCGTGCCTGGCGCCATGGCCTGGGGAAGGGGGATACAGAGGAGGGGGACAGCGGAGTTGAGGGGAACGGGTGAGGGTAGGGGAACGTGGGAGGGGAGGGGGACGGGGGAGCGGAGGGGGACAGGGGAGCGGAGGGGGACGGGGGAGGGGAGGGGGACGGGGGAGGGGAGGGGGACGGGTGAGGGAAGGGGGACGGGGGAAGACAGGGGGAGGGGAAGGGAAGGTGGGCACAAAAATGAATACGCGCCACTCGCCCCCTCTCCCCCTGCTTCACGTGCATTGCCCCCGGTGGCATGGCTGGCGCCATTGCCAGGAGGGAGGGAGAGGAAGGGAGTCGTGGCACAGTCACGGAACAATGAAATGTGATGGTTACATGCAAATCGGTTTACCACACACACTCCACGTCCATACTTGTCCATACATACTACACCCAAGTGTTTGCACTACATACACGTTACTCCATACATGTTCACTCCATGATTGTTACATTCCATACCCGCTACACTTCATAAACGTATGAACATACATACCGAGGATGCATCCATTGATGCTGCTGTCGCTGACGGCATGCCGTACCCCATATAAGGCTGCGCGCCCTGCTTTTAACGGGACGGTTGGGGCAGAAGCATGGAACAGAAATGATGAGTGGGAGGAGAAGACTGGGAAAAGGGGAACGAGGAAAGTGGGAAGAAGTGAAGGGGGAGGTGAGGGGAATGCAAAGGGAGAATGGTGGAAGGGGGAGGGGGCGAAAGTATAAGGTAGGGAAAGAAAAGCAGGCATAAGGGGGTTGCTTGTAACAGACGAGCTTTCACCATGAACATGGCAGCACACTTCTTAACGAGAACAAGGCCGAAACGCCTCTTACCAGGTATAAGGCTAGTTGTACTGAAGCAGCTCTTACCGGGTACATGGCAGCAGGGGGATACATGGGGGCGCCATAGGGGGGAGGCTGGCCGTAGGGCGCCATCATGTGCTGCTTGTGGGGGAAGTGGGGGAGGGGAAGAGGGGGGGGGGGGGGGGGGGGAGAGAGAGAGCGGGAGCGGAGGAGAAAGGGAAAATAGGGCTGAGCTGGGGATGGGAGGCTGGCCGTAGGGCGCCATCATATGCTGCAAAGGGGGGTGAAGGGGGAAGAGGCGGCGGAGGGGGTAGAGGGGTGCGGGGGGGGGGGGGAAGAGGGGAGAACGGGCAAGAAAGGAAGGCCGGGAGACGGGTGGAAGAGGAGAGGGGGAGACAGGTGGAGGAGAGGAGAGGAGGAGACAGGTGGAGGGGGAGGGGGAGGAGGGGGGAAGGTGAGATGTCAGGCTTGAGTGGCTGGCAGGGGGGTGCAAGGGGAGAAGAGGGAGTGGGGGTAGGGAGAGAGAGTGAGTACGTGGGACGGGCGGGGGAACAGCAAGGGACGAGGCAGTGGGAGGGAAGGGAGTGATGCAAATGATCTATCTGGAATTGAGAGACGCACCCGCTCCCACATGTAGGGGTGGTGCTGGGAAGACAAAGGAGTGGGGAAACGGCCGTGACCCAAAAAGGCCATCTTAAGGAAAGCAAAGTTCCTGCCCCCACATGTACGGATGGTGCTGGGGAGCGGCAGCAGAACACGCACCTGCCCCCACATGTAGGGGTGGTGCTGGGGAGCGGCGGCTGCTGCGGGATAGTACCCCGGCGGTGGTTGCCCCGCCTGGCCGTAGTACGCCTGGCGGGGATCACGGGCATTGCGCACACACGGGGGGGAGACACGCGGGGATGAGAGGAAGAGAAGGTGTGGGGCCGAGGTGACGGAAAGCAATGGTCTAGACGTAGGATAGTACCCCGGCGTTTTGAGACGTCTCAAAACACTACTTCTATCACGGGGTAGTACCCCAGCGGTGGTTGCCCCGCCTGGCCGTAGTACGCCTGGTGGGGATGCAAGCATGGAGCGGGGCCACACTCGCGGACACACGCGGGGGCACACGCGGGGACACACGCGGGGACTCACGCGGGGACACACGCGAGGACACACGCGAGGACACATGCGGGGGCACACGCGGGGAGAAACGCGGGGACACAGGCGAGGACACACGCGGGGGCACACGCGGGGACACACGGGGGGGCACACGCGGGGACACACGCGGGGACACACGCACACGCACACGCACACGCACACGCACACGCGCACAAGGGGACGGGATTAGGATGGGGACGAGCACTGCCATGCGTGGACGGATGGGAAAGACTGTTGTGCGGATCCAAGGGTGGGTTGAACAGACGACGGCACGCGCAGGCCAGCAAGCCCGCGGTGCGTTGACCTGCAGTCGCGCTTCGACAGGCGCCACCTCGACAGGCGCCACCTCGACAGGCGCCACCTCGAAAGGCGCCACCTCGACAGGCGCCACCTCGACAGGCGTTATCTCGGCAGGCGCTATCTCGACAGGCGTTATCTCGGCAGGCGTTATCTCCACAGGCGCTATCTCGACAGGCGCAATCTTGACAGGCGCGAACAGCGGGATGGCCCGGCCGTAGAGGGGCATTCAAACTAGACAGAAAGGAGAGGCATGGTATCCCACTATAATTGAATCAACCACCGCCCCGAAGCGCGTCGACTGCAAGCTCGAACTGCTCAACAGAGAGGGTGCCGCCGTAGAGGGGCATTCAACTCAACAGTGAGGTGCGGCCCGCAATTCCGCTATGGTTGAACCAATCACAGCCCTTTGTTCAAATCGCGTCGACTGCAGGCTCGGACTGCTCTACAAGGGTCGCTTGCTAGGTGCGGCGCGGGGCGTCTGAAGCTGGTTACCACTGCTCGCGATTGCTAGTGGTGGCTGATTACGACTGGTAACACTAGTAACCTCTGGCTGGCAACGGGGGGTGGCTGCTGGTAACAGCTGGTAACTCGGTGAAGGGACTGGCTACATACTAACGTACATGGACTCTCGCGGCGCGTTATACTAGCAGATAGATACTGGTTGCAAGAGTGAGGTTACCCTCATCGGGGTGACTCAAATGGTTCACCTGGAAAGCCGCTGCCCAGTCGGGGTAGCCTGCCGGCATCTGTTGATCCTTGCCATACCCTTGTGCTTCCTGCGATGACGGGATATTTATTCGGTCGTAAGACAACGCACCATGACGGAGAATAAATGATGGTTGAAAGAACGCGACGCGGTCGAACGGAGTAAGTTGTATTCGTGAAGGGGAAGGAATAACGGGGAATAATGGCGGCTTGCTCGGACATAAAGGACACGGCATATGAACGGCAAATAGAAATTAATAAGAAATAAACAGAATAAATAAAACGACGACGAAACAAGCAACGAATGAACGGAAAGTAAAGTGCGAACGAAAGTTTGCGCTACCTTACTCATCGCGTTAGCCGCTACACCTACGTCAGTCGATCCCATAACAGGCGCTGGAGACGACGACTTCGGCTTTCGACGACGCTTTTCGAACGATAAAATTCTTCCTTGGCGCTGATCCTCGAGCTTCGCAAATCCGGGACACACGAAGACTACAACAGATCGCTGCGCGGCTCGGTTCAGCTGCTCTTTCAAAACTCGGGAACAGAAAAGGAGGCAACCTTGGTTCAAAACAGGAAACGGAAGAAATTAGGGCTTACGTGTGAGAATGGTCCCAGCTGGGAGCAGAGGCATGCCTTACGTGTAAGCACAAGAGAGCTTCTCTGCTGTGTAAGATGGTTCGGGTGGAGGAGGTAGTTGGCGGAATTTGCGGAGGGCGCGTAATGGGGAGGCAGGAGCGGATGACCCGCGGGGCTGACTGGGCAATGAGTGGGGAAGGGGGAAGGACTATGGGCGCAAGTGGGAATGCGGGGCTGGCTGACTGGGTACATGTGGGGGAGCGGGGAGGCTGACTGGGAGCAAGAAGAGAGGAGGCGGGTAATGCGGCACACGGGCGGGCTGACTCAGCGAGGTGAAGGGGAAACGGGGAGGCTGACTGGGCTATGGTTGAGAGACGGGGGAGGCTGACTCAGCGAGGTTGGGGAGCGATGTTCAGCTCCACCAGGAAGCTTTTCCGCAAATCCTTGCGCGCGCAAGGAAGTCATTTGGGGAAAGGTGAGGGGGAAACATGCAAGGCGCAAAGGGGCGGTGGGCACAGGCATGTGGACGAGGGGATGAGCTGGAAGGCGCCACGCCACCTCGCCAGGTTGGAAAGGGGCGACTTTGACATCTGGGCCAAGAAGCAATGAAGAAGAAGAATATGGGAAATTATAACCCGCATCCAAGAATCATAATTGTTTCAGCATATTCGTTGTCAATAAATTCCATAAGGTTTGCAGTTGGTCTCAAATGAAGCTTTCAGGGCAGTTTGTTGTGCCAGACTATTCTCGTGTGGGCAGAACCTTCTACGCGCCTCGAGCATCCAACCACCACGATCTAGAGCAACGTGGCAAGGATCTGTTGAGCATGCATGTGACCGGAAATCCGCTGACCCTAGTTGTCCTGCTCATTGAGGGCGCATTTTCTCAAGTAACTGTTGTGCCAGGGGTCTCTTCCCGATCTGGCCTCTTGTTGGAACTCACGAGTTGATGAATGAGCTCTTGCGCAGATTTAGTAAGGCATTTTGGAAGTCACAATGTTGGCCCTTAGAAAAGGTTTTGCAAAGCGTTGCCCGCCGATTTAATTCTGAACACTCTCTAGATTGCCTACGCGTGATGTCGTGTACGCGATTTGGGATGCAAGGAGGCGGATACAAGTGCGCTTACTCCATAAAACACTCCGGCTATACTATTTTCCCCTAATAGAACAATAACCCATCAGCATTGATGTTCTTTCCTTTACTACAACCCATTCCAAATGAGTTTTCTTAGCAGAGACCTGGTGTGCAATTTCCATGCAACTACGGTAAGTCTAAGAATCATGTTTCAGAAAAACCAGGAAGTAGTAACCGCATGCTATTCCGCATGGTCCAGATACAATACACATAAAGAAGCTGTCCATGTCGAATACAATGACCCATCGCACGGCGTTAAGCCTTAAAACAGCTCCTCCGAGTTGAACTTGTTGAAAGCCTCCTGAAGAAAACGGAAATCAAGTCATGGTGTGGCACAGTACAGAGCTCCATGTAATGAGACGAATCCCACGTCAACTAACGAAATCTAATGCGCAGTATCAAAATCCAGTGCGAAGTTCGAGGAGGATAAACAGCACTGGATAAATAGCATGTGGCATGGCATGGCATGGCACGGTGCGCGCACCTTGAGCAGGTCAAACACTTTCTCAGCAATGTACTTTTGCTGCACTGTAGCGCCCTTCTGCTGCACCTTGTCCGGATGCACACACAGCGCTGCCTTGCGGTACGCCTTCTTCACTGCTGCAGCACTGCAGGGGAGGGAAGAGAGGGGGGAAAGAAAGGAGGGTGGGCACGTGTAATGCATACACATCGCTGCCTCGCGATATGCCTTCTTCACCGCAGCGACGTGAAGAGAGGGTATTTTTGAGACATCTCAAAAATAGCCACGTGAAGAGAGGGTATTTTTGAGACGTCTCAAAAATACCCTCTCTTCAGGGGAGGGAAGAGAGGGAGGAAAGGAAGGAAGGTGCACACGTGTGATGCATACACAGCGCTATGCCTTCTTCACCGCGGCGGCGCTGCAAGAGGACGGGAGGGACGGAGGGTGGGAGGGAGGGTGTGCACACATGAAACACTCCCACTGTTGCCTTGCAGAAGAGGGAGGGAGTGCGGTCGAGTGGGGGTGGGGGTAGGGGGGAGGGGGGGAGGAAATGGGTGGGTAGAAGACGGTACAACAACAGGCAGGCATAAGCACCAAACCAACACCAACAGCAATATGTATATGTGATGCACACACTGCGTGGTGTTGTGCGGTATGCCTGCTTCGCTGCTGCCACAGTGCTGGGAGGAACGGAGAGGGAGGGTGCGGGGATGGGAGAACGTACCTCACCCTCAACACACACCGTCAGCAGCACACCCGCACACCATCAGCGCCATCAGCTATGAAGGCCACAACCTCACACTTGCACTCCCTGCTTCCATGACTCGAGCCAGCACCACCACACCCCGTGGCACATGGCAACCCCACACCCCACACCCTTACCAAGGTGACTATTGAGTCGACTCAAAAGTCCCCACACAATCAATCCGCACGGACAGCCCACCTGATGATGTCTGTGAGCGCAACAGGCTCCCACTTGCACCCCTTGCTGCCATGCCTCCAACCAGCACCACCAAACACATGCCCCGCCAGCCTCACACAGCACAGGTGAAGCCACCCACCTGATAATGTCTGTGAGGGCCACTCGCTCCCGCTTGCATCCCTCTCTTTCATGCGTCGAACCAGCAGCACCACGCCCCAGGCCTCATGCCAGGCAGTCTCACACAGCACAGGTGAAGCCACCCACCTGATAATGTCTGTGAGGGCCACTCGCTCCCACTTGCATCCCTCTCTTTCATGCGTCGACCAGCAGCACCACGCCCCAGGCCTCATGCCAGGCAGTCTCACACAGCACAGGTGAAGCCACCCACCTGATAATGTCTGTCAGCGCCACTGGTTCCCACTTGCACTCCCCGCTGCCAGCACCACACGTGGCAGGCAAGCCCCACCCAGCCCACCGTCAGTATTCCTCACCTGATGATGTCCGTCAGCGCCACAGGCTCCCAGTTGCAACCCTTGCTGCCATGCGTCCAAGCTGCCGTACCGCACATTGCATGCCAGCTAACCCCACCCACCATGCACATGTGAAGCCACCCACCTGATGATGTCCGTCAGCGCCACTGGCTCCCACTTGCACTCCGGCCACAGCACCTGGGCGCAAGAAGAGGTGGGGGGAGGAAGGGGAGGGGAGGGAGGGGAGGGAGAGGGAGGGAGGTGAGGGAGGGGAGGGGAGGGCGGGAAGGGCGGGGAGGGGGAGAGAGGGAGGGGAAGGAAGGGAGGGAGGAGAGGTGAGTAGAGTGGAGGCGACTGTAGCATCCATACAGGGAGATGGTACCTTTGCACGTAAAGTGGGACGTTACTTAATGCTCATACACGACTTGACGCACACATATGTAAACCACACAATACACCCGAAATTTATCTCGGTAAATGCACACCAATAAATGGAGTGTCCAGCCACACGTGATATACACTTTTTTTTAGTGGACTACAAAACAGTCAGACGTGCTGTAGGCCTTCAGGCTAATAACGCTGCCCTTATACAAAGTCAGCTGTAAACGTTGATTAGCTTCTCGTGTTCTTGTGTCATGTACAAACCGTTACTCTGGAATGCATGTGCAACTCACATGTTGGATTTGCAGATGGACAAACAAACTGTAGTCCAGTACTGGGGCACTGCTGCACCCATGCAGGAACATACCCAGGATTAGGGTATGTCAAAAGCGACATCAGCCTAGGGACTCACGAACTGCAGAGTGGAGAGCAGTGACGCACACTCATGTCACAATACACTGGAAATCAGGGTAACTCACAAGCATTAGCACCCCCAAGGCACTCACAAACTGCAGCGTGGAGAGCAGCAGCACGGCAGTACACCGGAAAATCAGGGTAACTCACATGCAATATCACCCAAGGGACTCACAAACTGCAGTGTGGAGAGCAGCGCGCGCAGATTGCCCTCCTTGCCTGCCGCCCACCGCTTGATCTCAATATCCAGCATCTCCCCAGCTTTCTGGAAGAGGGGAGGGGGTTGAAGGAGGGCGGGGATGGGGTGAGGGGAGGGGCTGTGTGATTTCCACTACCAATTATTCTCAATAACCGGCATCTCCCCCCACTTTCTGCAAGAAGGTGAGGGGAAAAGGGGAGGGAGGGAGGGGGAGGACAATGCTTCCCACCATTTGATATCGTTATTGAATGTCTGGAGGAGGGAGGAGAGGAGGCGGGAGCGAGAATAAGGGAGAAAAATCACACGGTAATTTCTACCGTCGCTTCAATTCATTTTCCAGAATAGCATCTCCCCAGCTTGTTGGAAAGGGGAGGAGAGCGGCGGAAGGGGGGGGGGATGGGGGAAGGAGGCGGAAGCGGAAAGAAGAAAAGGGTGGACTGGACATGCAGCAAGATCAAATTGACCCTTGCGTCACATCACTAACACCAACACCACCAACAACACCCACACCACCCAGCAGCCACCCAAGCCCCCCCCTTTCCCCACTTAGCCACCCTGATTAACGCGCGAGTCCTGCTTTTTGAGCACGCTCATGTCTCATTCTCACTCCCATCAGCCTTTTTCATTCATCCACCACTCACCCACCGCCCACCCCCCTCCAATCCACCCCTCAGCATTCATGTGCTGGTCTTCCTGCTCCTTCAGCACCTCCATGTATCATTCTCACTCCTGCCCTCAACCATCCAACCACTCACCGCCCCTCCCAACCCCTTCCCATCCTTCCCGAATCCCCAATGCCTTCAACCATCCAACCACTCACCACCCCTCCCCACCCTCCACTCACTCACGTGCTGGTCCTCCTGCTCCTTGAACATGTCCATGTCTCAAACCCCCCTCCCACAACCTACAAACCACTCAGCACCCCTCCCCACCCCTCACCACCGCTCCCAACCCCTCTGCACTCACGTGTCTGTCCTCTTGCTCCTTGAGGACCTCCATGTCTCGTTCTCACCCCTGCCTGAAGCCATCCAGCCTCTTTCCACCCCTCACCATCCCTCACTAACCCTCCTCACCCACTCACGTGTCTGTCCTCCTGCTCCTTTAGCACGTCCATGTCTCGCTTCTTCTTCTTGTCCAGCGCTGCTGCCTGCCATGGTGCCTTCAGCCATCCAACCATCCAACCATCCGACCACCAAACCACTCACAACCCATCCCCGCCCCTTGGCACTCACGTGTCTGTTCTCTTGCACCTTGAACATGCCCATGTCTCGAACCCCCCTTCAACCACCTACAAACCACTCAGCACCCCTCCCCACCCCTCAACACGCCTCCCAGCCCCTCCCCACCCCTCTGCACTCACGTGTCTGTCCTCCTGCTCCTTGAGCACGTCCATGTCCCGATTGCACTCCTGCCTGAAGCCACCCAACCCCTCTCCACCCCTCTCCACCCCTCACTACCTCTCCCCACCCACTCACGTGTCTGTCCTCCTGCTCCTTTAGCACGTCCATGTCTCGCTTCTTCTTCTCATCCAGCGCTGCCGCCTGCCATGGGGGTGCATGCACAGAGGGTGGAGGGCGGACGAGAGGAAGAGGGGGGAAAGGGCGGACGGGGAGGAGGGAGGGAAAAGGGCGGACAGGGGAAGACGGGGGGGTGTGGAGATTGAGGGGGGGGGGGGGGGGGGGTTGACGGGCGCACAGGAGGAAGGCCAAAGTTGGACGACGCAAGGAAGAGAGCATGCGGGACGACGAGAGAGATGGAAATTGTGGGGAAAGGACAGGGCGGAAGGAAGGAGGGGGGGAGGGGGGGGGTTGTGGACGAGAGGAAGGGGGTCCGGTAAGAGATGGGGGGAAGGTGAGGAGGAAGGACGAAGAAGGTACACTGGGTGAATGGAGGAATTCGGACGACGGACGAGAGCATGCTGGACGAACGGACCGTTCGAGGAAAACCGTGGGGAAAGGAGGGGCGGGAGGAAGGGGTTGGGGGGGGGTGTAGGAGATTGAGAGAGGGAGGGGGGGATAGCAGAGGTGGGAAGATGAAGGAAAGGGGGAGACGGTGGGAAAAGGCGAGCCGGGGAAGGTATAGAGAAAGAGAGTTGAGCCCTCTTAGGCGCATAGTTGCGGCGCCTCAAAAAGCAGAGGTGGGAATATGAAGGAGAGGGGGGATGATGGGAAAAGAGAGCTGGGAGATATGCGTCTGCGCCCCTGCCCCCACTGCGCCCCTGCCCCCACTGCGCCCCTGCCCCCCCTGCGCCCCTGCCCTCCCTGCGCCCCTGCCCCCCCTGCGCCCCTGCCCTCCCTCCGCCCCTGCCCCCTCTACGCCCCTGCCCCCACTGCGCTCATGCCCCCCCTGCACCCCTGCCCCCACTGCGCTCATGCCCCCCCTGCGCCCCTGCCCCCCCTGCGCCCCTGCCCTCCCTGCGCCCCTGCCCCCTCTACGCTCATGCCCCCTCTGCACTCATGCCATCCTTGCGCCCCTGCACCCCCTGCGCCCCTGCCCCCCCTGCGCCCCTTCCCCCCCTGCGCCCCTGCCCCCCTTGCGCCCCTGCCCCCCCTGCGCCCCTGCCCCCCCTGCGCCCCTGCCCCCCCTGCGCCCCTGCCCCCCCTGCGTCCCTGCCCACCTGTGCCCCTGCCGCCCCTGCACCCCTGCGCCCCTGCCCTCCCTGCGTCCATGTTTGTGCCCCTCACATCCAAGCGGCCCCCACTCACCACTCTCTCACGACCACCCATCTTAACGCCCCTCCTTGCAGCACCCACCCAACCCTCCCTGCTCCCCTCCCCCACCCCTCCCACGCCCCCCACCGCACGCACCGCTCTCTCCTGCAGGCGTTGAAACCGCTCGTATCGCAGCTGGCGCCGCTCCTCACTCTCCCCCTCCACCTCCTGAAACTTGTCCAACCGACCGCCCCCTCCTTGTGCCCCTGCAAGTACACGCCCCACACTCACAGTTCTCTCTCACAACTCTCTCACCCCCTGCCTCCCTGCATCCCCTCCCTCTCAGCACCCCATCCCCCTCCCAGCATCCCCTTCCATCCCCCACACCACCCCTCACCCATCCCTTCCTGCTCCCTTCCCAGCACCTCTCCTATCCCCTCCCTGCACCCATCCCCACCCCCAGCAAACCCCACGCACCGCTCTCTCCTGCAGGCGTTGAAACCGCTCATATCGCAGCTGCCGCCGCTCCTCACTCTCCCCCTCCACCTCCTGAAACTCGTCCAGCCGACTTCCCCCACTTGCCCGCGCGCCTGCTGCTGCCCCTCCGCCGCCTCCTCCCCCTCCCCCGCCTCCCCCTGTGGTGCTCATGAGAAGGGGATGCGTGAGGGGGAACGGATGAGGTGGAGTTGGAGCAGAGGTAGGGAGAAGAGAGAGGAGGGGATAGAATGGGTTTGGGAATAGAAGGGAACAAGAGAAGGTAAAGTATTGATCGTGAGGTAGAAAAAGATGCTGTGAGAAGCAGAGGATGAGGAGGAGAGGAGCGGACGGGGAGGGACAGAGGGAGTGGGAAAATGGGAAAAGGAAGAGAGGGAGATGAGAGAGGGAAAGGAAGAGAGAGTAACAGAAAGGAAAGAAAGGAACGAGATGGAAACGGAAGAGAAGGACATGAAGAGATGAGAAGCAAGAGAGGGAAAGGAGAAGAGGGAAGGGGGAAGGGGGAAAGTGGGGGAGGGGTACATGGGTAGGGGAAGAGAGGGGGCGGAAGAGGGAAGAACAGGACGATGGGAATGCACCAATTACGAGAGGAACATACCGAGAATGTAAGGAACGCACCGAGAATGTCAGCCCAATCGTCGGCTGAAGAAGGCTGCTGTTTTGGTGGCGCTGCTTGCTGCACGTGGGTGGGGCAAAGGGGAGAGGAGAGGGGGCGAGAGAGATTACTTTCGAGGCGCCTCAAAGGTGGGGCGAGCGGGAGAGGAGAGAGGGCGAGAGAGATTTGAAGGCTCGAGGATATGGAGGGGAACGAAGGAGTAAGGATCCCACTGAGAGCAATGCCATGGTTTTTCAGACGTCCCAAAAGACTTTTGAGACGTCTCAAAGGGCTCGAAGATATGGAGGGGAAAAAAACAAAGGATCCCACTGAGAGCAATGCAAATTCTTTTCAGACGCCCTGAAAGGCTTTTGATACGCCTCAAAAGGCTCGGGGATATGTATGGAGGGGAAATAGACCAAGGAACCCACTGACAGCAACGCCAAAATCCGGAGGCGAAGCTGTGTTGTACCCATGAGATGACTAATAGAAATCAAGTGCAAACAGGTACACCATCGGACCAAACAACCAACAGCTAACATCCACCCTCACACCACACCACACCACACCACACAACACACACACCACACGACACCATCCAACAACAGCAGCACCACCACCAACCCACCGAGGCTCTGCTCTTGGCTTCTTGAGCCCGCTGCTGCTGCTGCCTTGCCGCTTCCCTCTCCTTCTCCCTCTGCTTCTCACTCTCCCTCTGCCTCTGCCTCTCCCTCTCCCTCTCCTCCCGCTCCCTCTCCCTCTCCCTCTCCCGCTCCTTCTCCCTCTCCCTCTCCCTCTCCTTCTCTCTAGCCGCCCTCGCAGCATCAGCCTTCCTCTGAGCGCTCTCCATAGCATCCTTCATAGCAGCAGACGACGCCGCCGCTGCTGACGCCGAATCCGACGGCGGCGCATACCCGCCACCTGGCGCCTCCCCATTGGCCGCTGCTCCCGCCCTCCGCCTCCTCGGCGGGGCCCCCCTCTCCTCCTCCTCCTCCCCGCCTCCCCTCCCGCCACCACCGGCAGCAAACTCATCAAACCCATCCAAACCACCTCCTCCTCCGCCTCTCTGCTCCGACTGCTGCCTTCTCCCTCCTGCTTCCTCCCCTCCGCCCCTCCCGCCTGACCCGCGCCCGCCCGCCCCTGCTGCCCCTCCCTCCCCAGCATTCTCAAAGCTCATTTTCCTGGGCATGGGACCATCACCACCAGCAGCACCAGCAGCAGCACCACCACCGCCAGTAGCACCGTAAGAGGGAGCACTGGAGCGGGGACGACGGGGTGTGGCGGGAGGTGGGCGGGAGGGCGGAGGCGGGGTGCTGCTGGGGTTGGTTCGCAGGATAACCTCATCAACCGTAATCCACCGATCTCCACCCACTCCAGCCCCTCCTGCTGATCCGTCACTTCCTCTCTTCGCTCTCTCCCTCTCCTCTCTCTCCCTCTGCCTTTCCCTCTCAATTTCCTTCTCCTTCTCCCTTTCCCTCTCCTTAGCCCGTTCTCTCTCCCTCTCCCTTTCCCTCGCCTCCCCACTATCCTCCCTCCTCGCCTTCCGAGCCTCCTCCCGGGGCTCTTCCCGAACCTCAGGCACGGGAACCTGCTGAACGAATGTCTCAAAGTCACCCAGACCGATATCCGGACCTGCGCCCTGGTCTCCCAAACCGCTGCCCTGTGTCGGAACCCCCCCATCCATACCTAATCCCGAGCCTCCCGAGCCGCTTCCAGCAGTAGGCATGGCAAACGCATCAAAAGGGTCGGGAACAGCAGCAGTAGCAGCAGCAGAAGCAGGGGCGGCTGTACCGAATAACGGGTCGACTCCAAACGGGTCAGCAGCAGCGGGCGCAGCAGAGGAGGAGTGCGAGGGCATGGGCGAGGGCCCTCCCTCTTCGGGGAATAAACCCCCAGCGGTGCTCGTGGGCTTTGCGGAACTGAGGGGGAAACGGGAAGGGGGAAGGGAGCGGGAGAGAGGAGGGACGGGACGAGGGGAGAAAGGGTGGGCGAGGGGCCTCCCTCTTGAGGGAATAAACCCCCGGTGGTGTTCGTGGGCTTGGCGGAACTGGGAGGAGAGGAGAGCGAGGGGGGGGAAGGGGGAGGGGATGGGATGTTGCAACGAGCAACCAGGGCATGGGCGAGAGCATGGGCGAGGGCATGGGCGAGGGCATGGGCGAGGGCATGTGCGAGAGCATGGGCGAGGGGCCTCCCTCTTCGCGGAATAGTCCCCCAGCGGTGCTCGTGGGATTGGCGGAACTGAGGGGGAGAGGAGAGAGAGAGGGGGGGAAAGAGATGGGGAGAGGAAGGAGGGAGTGGGAGGTGAGGAAAAGGGTCACGTGCAACGAGGGCATGGGCGAGGGCCCACCCTCTTCGGGGAATAGTCCCCCAGCAGTGCTCGTGGGCTTGGCGGAACTGAGGGGGGGAAGCGGTGAAAGACAAAGTTGCGACGAGCAACGAGGGCATGGGTGAAGGGCCTCCTTCCCTCTCTCTTTAGAAAACAGCCCTCCCACCGGCGACGGAGACGGGCTCGCAGTGGTTCTCGTGGGCTGGGCAGAACTGGAGGGAAATGGAGATGTGGCGAGTCAAGGAAGGGTGGGGAAGGATCGGGAGGGATGGGGAGTGTCAGGTTGGTTAACGGGAAAAACGGGAAAAAACGGGAGGACAAACAGGACAACGGGAGAAAAACGGGAGAAAAACGGGAGAAAAACAAAACGGGAGGACTTTCGGTCCCGTTAGCATACCTACCGCACTGGACGGACAGAGAAATCAAATGTGGAGGGCGACTTGAATTCCAACTGTGCCGACGCGCACCCAAAGCTGATCAGCTCGAAAAGCGGGGGTTGGGGAACAATCTGATACCACTTGAAACAATCTAGTACGCATTGACTACCTCAACTAGCACACCGCATCCCGCATCGTTGGCAGTATCACGACCCTTAAATCTCGACACTTGAAAGGCGAAGCAAAATTTAACCTGGTTTAGGTAGACTTGGGGCCGCGATTTCCAAATTACACCGTTCTGGGGATCAGTCGGGAAAGCAGCGATCGCCCAGCGGCTGTTTACAACGGACGGCCAAAATCGCCCATCTCGTCCCACGCATGGGACGGCCAAGATCGTCCATCTTTTTCCGCACTTAGGTATTCTTCACCCAGGTAAGAGTTTGAGACATCTTTAAACCAGTACTTGGACGCATGTCGCTTTTGAAATTTCTCAAAAAGCGACTTCAGACTAACTCGGACTTGCGATCGCGTAACAACATTGTATACCATCATGCAACATCGCTTTCCGGCTTGACATGTCCGCGCACATTCAGAATTCGCCAGTTACCCTCTCCCCGCAACGTACCTGCCAAATCCAGCCACCCTCTCCCCGCAACGTACCTGCCAAATCCAGCCAGATGCAGCAAGCACCGAATGTTGAGACATTTAAAAACTCGTTTCCGCCTCCCCTCCTCGTACGTGCCGAACCCGGCAGCAGATCAAATCCGCGTGTACCTGTTCTTGAGACCCGTATCAAATCAACGTACCTGCTGAATCCGGCCAGCAGATCGTCGTCCGCGTGAGCAGCAGGCACCGTATTGTGCGACGCCTCAGAACCCGTTCCCCTGTCCCCGCAACGTACCTGCCGAATCCCGCCAGCAGATCGTCGTCCGCGTGAGCAGGAGGCACCGGCGACGGATCGCGACGATCTTTCGCCGACGACGTCGCAGACGACGACGAATGCGGCATCTCGAACCCCTGGCTCATCAGCTCGTCAAACGCCGACGCTGTCGCCGCCACCCCGCCGCCGCCGCCGCCGCCGGTAGATCCTGACGAGAGGTCCTCGGTCACGGACGGCGACGATCGTCCAGAATGTCCGGATCTCGTGGGGGTTGGGCCGCGACTGGACGAGCTTGCGCCCGCGCCGCTCTTGCTCCCCGCTCCGCTTCCGCCGCCGAGCCCGAAATCCGCCACTCCCAGCCCCGCGAACGCGTTGTTGGAAAGACCGGTACTCGCGCCGCGACTCCCGCCGCTGCTGCCGCTGCCGGCCATGCCTTTGCCAAACGAACCCATGCCGCCGCCCATGCCGCCGCCCATCCCACCACCCATGCCGCCACCCATGCCGCTACCCATGCTGCCACTTCCGCCGCCGCCCATGCCACCACCCATACCGGCAGCAGGTTTGTTCATCCCACCTCCTAGATTTCCCATGCCTCCCAAATTCCCCATACCCCCCAAGTTTCCCATACCTCCGAGATTCCCCATACCTCCTAAATTCCCCATACCCCCCGCCGAACTCCCCCCCATACCCCCGCCCACCCCTCGACCCATCCCTCCCCCCGTGCCTCCCCCCAATCCAGAACCCACACCGCTTCCGCCCATCTGGCCTCCCCCGATTCCTGCGCCGCCGACACCCCAGCTGGGTGTTCCGCCTCCCCCCATACCTCCCCCCATACCTCCCCCCATCCCTCCCCCCATGCCTCCGCCCATGCCTCCCCCCATGCCTCCACCCATGCCTCCCCCTTGAGGTCGCTTCGGCACCATTGGGGTGTGCTTGCCTTGCGACTTGAGGCCCGCAGCGGCAAGCACGCTCGCAAGATCATCCATGGCTGCGAATCTACTTCTCAAGAACCCGCCTTGTCAAATTTTTAAATTTACGACACGAGAAAAAACTAAATTAGGTTTACCACACGGATCCCGTGACTTGCGGGATAAATGCCACTCGACAGATCGTTACGGAAGGAAATGGGCGATTCAAGCTATCGACAGAAAGGCATGAGACGATTTTTGAGGCGCCTCAAAAATCAACACTCGACCAATCGTTAGGGAAGGAAATGGCCAAGCTAAGCCATGGCGACGCGAAACTTATGTTGTTATCGTGCAGATTCCCCTTCCAACTAACAGCCAGCTAAGCTTGCTCCGCGCGTGATCGCCGCTGACTGCTGGCCTTCCTGGCAAGTGCGGATCCTAGGGCAGCCAACAGCGCAGCCGCCAGCGCAGCACACCTACAGGTCGACTGTTGCCGATACAATCAGCGATCCCCCATTTCTGAGTGGATAAAGGAGCTTGGCTCGAATCTGAAGGAACAAGTGATGATCCCTACAACCAATTTGGCTTGCCTTGGGCTTGTCTTGCGTGGCTGCCTCCCTCGGGCTTGCCTTGGTTGGGCCCTGAGGAAATCCAAGGTAGCGTTTCCTCCCAACGCGATGGTTATTGATTCGTATGCTACGGTTCCAATAGTTACGTAACGTTTTTGAAGCGGTAGCCAAAGACCGCTGTATACCGTGTGAAAACTTTCTGAGCCGTGCTGAACGATCGGAGACCATCACAAGGGACACCAAGCCTGTAGCTTGGTGCCGCCGAGAGGAAAGAAAGCGGGGGGGGGTGGGGGGCGGGGCGGGGGCATGGCGGGAGGCAACAAGCGTGGGGACGGATGGTTGGGGGGATGCGTGCAGTGAAGACCAAATGCGATGGTTTGGGGGTGGGGGAGATGCATGGAGGGTTGCGATGGGTTCATGTAGTTGACCTGCGCTGCACCTGCAGTGCTGTGCGAAGAACTGCGGAGCGCTTCGCGAGATCTTAAAGCTGCTAGTTTGCCGTTTCGAAAGGTTCGGTAACTGCTAACGAAATTACAACACTCGTGCACGACCTTGTCAGAACTCAGCCGCGCACGAATCGGTAACTCTTGACCGCAGCGCCAGGTTGTGGGTGGGCGACCCTGGGATATGAGCCGGGCGTGCGAACGAACGAATCGTCTGTGTGCGAAAACGAAACGAGGGTTTGGTGCGTGTCGCCGCGCCGCCCAGTCGGCCGACTGACTGACATCCACTTCCGCGCCAAACCTGTCGGCTACACGGAGTATAAGCTGCTTCCATTAAAGACTACACTCCAGAAGTCCCAAGAAGGGAATCATGGATGATTTCACATACATTGAAATAACCGCAATAAAGCTTCATTAAGATTCAGATTGACAGATGATACTGTACAAACCATTCTCAATATCATGCAACATTGCATATTGCAGCACATGTAGCCGCTCTGAACCACGTTGCTGCGATCAGAAATTGATCGTAGCCCAGGATCTACCCAGGAAGGTTCGCACGCAGTGAAATAGTTGGTGGGCCCTTGATCTCAATAGCAGAGTGAATGTAAATGCTTGAGATGATAAAAACATGCAAACAAGGTCATATAAATAAGAGTACAAGGGAATGCGAACAGACCTATCTAGCCATGTACTCTAAGGGGTACATTCCCTTATTCAAATTCACTCCCAACCGTGCGGCGCGTACAGTTACGAAACTGTTCCCGCCAAAACCATCCTGCCTGCAGCTGCCCGATGCCGTCTGCTTCCGACGGTCCAGATGCGTTCCAACTGTCCGTCGCTTCGAGTCAACCGTCTGACGGTTCGCGTTCATTCTCGTTACTGCGTGCTTCTCTTTGCTGCGGTGAGGAGTGCACAGTAATATCAAATATTACTATTCGTAACACCCCCCTTCACTCCTGACCGTAGCTCGACTTGACCTGCTTGACCACGCCGCTGAGTTCGGAGCAGTGCTGATACTGCTGGCGTGGCAGTCGCTTCGTGAGGAAGTCCGCTGCCATGTCACCCGTCGGGCAGTAGGTCAAGTTGACCTTGCCCTTGTCCACCTCGTCCTTCACAAAGAAGTACCGCAGCGCAATGTGCTTGGTGCGGTTGACGAAACCAGGTTTGTTCGCGATGCGAATTGCGCTCTGGTTGTCGCAGTGAAGGCGGAAGCTCGGCGAAGTCGGAATTTTCGCCTCTCGCAGGAGTTCCTGCAGATAGAGGCCTTCGCGAACTGCTGCGGTTGCTGCGATAAATTCTGCTTCGGCGGATGACAGGGCAACCAATTCCTGCTTCTGTGAATTCCAGGAGATTGGTCCCGATGGCTCGAGTCGGAACAGGAAGCCGGTCCTGGACCGTCGATTGTCGGGGTCTGCTGCGTGATCGGCGTCCACGTAGCCGATGAGGTTGAAGGATGGAGTTGGTGCAGTTGAGTAGCACAGCCCAATCTTGGGCGTTGAAACGAAGAATTGAAGGGCGCGCTGCAGGTCTAGGTGATTCTCGGCCGTTGGTTTGCGTGAGTACTGCGCGAGCTGACTCGCAATGTAGGAGAGATCTGGCCTGCAGGTGACAGAGGCGAAGAGGAGGCATCCCAGCTGCTGCTGGTAAGTCTGAATCCCAGCAGGGGATAGGGCTTTGTTGTCAGGTTTGTGGTTCGGTCCGGGGGTTCGGTAGGGAGTTGAGAGAGGCGCAGGTGAAATGTTGAATCGCTTCCCTAACTCCTCTGCGTACTTAGCCGCTGAGAGGTGAATGGCCTCAGGTGCGTAGGAGATGTTGAGGCCCAGGAACTGCTTCACCTCGTAGTTGCACGTGATGTCGACGCGCCCCGCCAAAGCCTTCTCGAACTGCTCCAGAAGCTCATTGTTTGAGCCTGTGTAGAGCAGGTCGTCGACGTACACGATGAGAAGAATGTATTCCCCGCGGAAGTCGCGGCGGTACATCCCTGGATCATGCGGCATCTGCTTGAACCCGATTTCAAGCAGGATGTTGTGTAGGTACTGCTGCCACAGCCTCGGAGCCTGCTTGATGCCGTAGAGAGACTTGCGCAGCTGACACACACGCGAATCCCCTTCGCCGTAGGTGTGTGGCTGCTCCACGTAGATCACGGCGTCCACAGGAACGCGTTCTTCACGTCGATTTGACGGAGTGGCAGGTGCCTTGCGGCTGCGATGGCGAGCAGGATGCGGACGGAGGTGTGGCGGCTGACTGGGGCAAATGTCTGGTCGAAGTCGATCCCATGCCTCTGGTCATAGCCGCGAACCACCCAGCGCGCCTTGAAGCGCTCGATCGTTCCATCCGCCGCGGTCTTCACGCGGAAGACCCACTTCCCCGAGAGAATTCTTGCGCCTTTGATTGCTGCGCGGTCGACGAGCACCCAGGTGTCGCGTGATTCCAGTGCCTTGATTTCCGCGTCCATCGCTTCGCGCCACTCCTTGCTGTGTGGTCCAGAGAGGGCCTCGCGCGGATTTCGGGGCTCGATGACGCGTGGCGCTTTCGAGGTTGCAGCGTGAAGTCCGAGCAGCTGCAGTCCCGAGACGGTGCTGTCGTGGCGATGTTGCGGGACGACTTCCTGCACATCGTCGTCGTCGCTTTCAGGGTCAGGTGCTGGTGGTGCTGCGCCTCCGCCGCTTCCGCCTGTTCCGCTTCCACTTGCTCCGCCGATTCCTCCTCCAGAGGAGTCGTCGTCGTCGTCGCTGCTTCGCCGATCCTCCCATGCGAATTCTCCCCTTGTATCCTGCTCCAGGATTGCTGCAGCGGCTTCGTCTTCAGGCGTTGCGTAGCTGTGGCCATCGTTGGTATAGACGCGATTCGCGTTCGCTTGCTCGTCGCGGCGGAATTGGTCGAGGAAGAGACGTTCGTAGAATATGACGTCGCGAGCGTTGGATGTCTTCTGACTGAGGAGGTCCAGCACGATCCACGCCTTGTGTTCGTGGCTGATGCCGAGGTGAATTCCCCAGCGCGCGCGGCTGGCGAATTTGCCAATAGTTGACGTTGGCGGGCGGTACTGCACCATGCATCCCCATACGCGCAGCATCGATGTGTCCCCCTTAGTCCCGGTCCACTTGACGTGCGGGGACAGATTGCCGGTGATGGCGGTGGTCGAAAGCAGGTTGTGCACCCGCACGGCGTGGTGCATAGCGTAGGTCCAGTAGATCGGCGGCAGTTTCGACTGCTTCATCAGCGCGCGCACCTTCGTCATTAGTGTGCGGTTCGTCCGCTCAGCTACGCCCTGCTGTTGGTGTGCGTAGGGGAGAGAGATGTGGTGCTCGATCCCCTTCTGTGCCAGGAAGGTCTGCATCTGGTTGCTCCTGAACTCTGCCGCGCCGTCGGATTGCCAAATCTTAAGCTTCTTCCCAGATTGCCGCTCCGCGTGCGGCAGCCAGAGGCGAAATACCTCGTAGGCTCTGTCTCGCGACTCCACATTTACGACCCACACATAGCGCGTTCCAGCGTCAATGAAGGTGAGCGTGTATAGCTCATCCTCGACTCCGAAATGCCCCACGTTCAGGAAATCACTGTACACCTTGTGCAGCTTGGGGTAGCGGTTTGTTCCAGGTTCGAGCAGCGGGAACGGTTGGTGGCTCAGCGCAGCTTCGGGGCAGACGGTGCAGTTGCGCGGGTGTGTCGCGCCACTCACTTCGGAGCCATCAGGGCGCAAGAGTGCGCCAGGAGCGAAGACGCCAGCGTCGATGCAGTTTTTCAGTGTCGCGCGGGAAGGGTGTCCGAGGCGCTGATGCCAGAGGGCATCGTCAGCGCGAAAGCCGGAGGTGCGCATATAGCGCGCGCGCGCTTCTTCAGGGTCTTCGTCAGGTACAGGAGCAGGTTCTGCCGCTACTTCTTCGACTTCTTCTTCTTCTGCCGCGGTAGTCAGCATCAGCGCCAAGAACTCTCTGTCGCGAATGTCAGAGAGTGGGATGTTGGTCCCAGGGATAGTTCCAGGGACTAAGGTAGGTTGGCGTGGCTCAGGGGCAGGTCCGTAGACAGTGCGACGCGGGGTTGACGGCTCGTTGCCCCAGATGATGGTGTCCCAAGGGTCGCGACGCGGGGGAATGTCTGCAGGGGGTGGTGCGAGCGGGATGTGACGCGGGGGACGACCGAGAGGAACGACTGCAGGTGCTGCTTCGATTTCTTCGCGAATGTCCTCTATTTCTTCGCGAATGTCCTCTCCCCCCCTTCGTTCTTCGCGGGAAGTGCCCCAGCCGCTGTCTGCGGCGGTAGGTACGGCGCCCCATCCTCCGCTCGCGTTGGCCCAGGTTCCGCCAGTGTCGCCCCAGCCGCCAGTATCACTGGTTCCCCATCCTCCAGCGTTCCCCCACCCCCCTTCATTGGAGGCACTTTCTTCCTCCTCGGCTCCCCAGGCGATGCAAGCGAAGGTCCCGCGTGCTGCCGTGAGACTTTGCTGGCGAAGCTCCTCAGCTTCGCGGCGCGCCAGTTCTTCCTCCTGCTCCACGGTGAGTTTTGCCGTGGGATCACGCCAGTGAGGGTAGACCTTCATGAATTCCTCGAGAGTGTAGGGGCGCGGGACTCCTCGTGAGTCCAGGCTTCCGCGGCGTTGTCCGCGCAGGATGTTGTCGAGCCGCTGGGAGGGAGGTCCAGCGTGGGGACTTTGATCGGTGCCGAACACGCGGTGAGTAGCGACTTCAAGCTCGAGCTGCGACATCCCTTCCTCGGGAGGCGCGGTACGCTCTGCTTCAGCGATGGCGGCGAGTCCGCGGCCGGCGATCGCGCTTGTTGAGGTCGTCGGCGTGTGGCAATCCCTGCATATGCCGTCGGGGTCGGGGTTGTGTAACGCCGTTTCGCGTGGGTGAGGATGATGCGGCACCCACGGTCTGCCGTCAGGGTGCTTCCAGTCCCTGCGGTGGATGTGCTCGAAGCGCAGTGGCACGAGGTCAATCAGCTCGTGCGAATCGCCGCTGCAGTCGGGGATGTCGAAATCCAACACGTATACTCCATTTTCGGAGTGCGCTCGTCCGATCTGTCGGCGGGGGAAGTTGCGCGCCTCATAGTGCAGCAGGATATCTCGCGTCGCGCGGTCCGTGCTGAGGTCGACGCCGCAATCCATGAGCTGTGCGGCGGACAGAAGGTTGAAGCGCAGGTTCTGGACGATCAGCACATCGTTAAGCGTGATGTGCGTGCGGCTCCCGCGTGCTTTGAGCACGACGATGCCTTGCGCGCTTGCGCGCAGGCGTGTGTTGTTCGCCACGGTGACGTAGGTGACGGCAGGGGTGGGGACGGCGTTGGATATGTAACGCTCGGAGCCCACCATGTGCTGGCCGCAGCAGCTGTCCAGGTACCAGGTGTTGTAGCGCTTGTTGTCGTCACGTGCGAGCAGCGCCAGTCGCGGCGTGACGATGTGCGGAGTGTCGAACTTCAAAAACTGTTCGCGCGAGAGCCAGTCACGTGGCGCCACCCGCATATCAGATACATGCGGGGGACTTTCAAGCAGCGGAACTGGAAGATTCCAGTCTTGGTCGTCGTCGTCGGTGAAATCGTGGCGCGGGCTGAACGGGTTGTTGTTGGTGAACGCGCCAATCGGGTGCGGTGCCGGCTCAGGTGACGGTGAGCGAACGCGGCGACGACGCGACTCGCCTGTCATGGCCATGCTGCTCATGACGTTGCGAACTGGGGCAGTCGATGACGGCTGCTGCTGCTGATGCTGAACCGTTGGGTTCAGGTTGCGCGCGGGAGGGGGCTGATACCCCTGGGCTGGACGCACGTCGCCTCGTGCGTCTTGACGGCCGGACCAGGTGCTCGGATTGGTCTGGCGAGGGCGTGATCGGTTCTTACATCGATCCGCCAAGTGCCCAAAATTTCTGCAGATTTTGCAGTAGAGGCGCCGTGGCTTTCGCTCTTCAGTGTTGTCGGCGTAGAAGGCGAGCCGTTCGCGTTCTCGTCGCGGCGCTGGTCGCTGCTGATCCATATCCCTCTGTTCGACGAGAAGGGCGGCGCAAAGGGCGGCCTCCGAGATGACCCCCTGCTGTCGAAGAAGCGCCTTGCAGGGCCGCCACTCTGGGCCGAGCCCTTGAAGCACAATGTTGACGAAGATTTCCTCTGAAATCGTGCTTCCCAACTTCACGATTTGATCGCGAAGGCTCCGACAGCGGTTGAGGTAGTTGTTGACTTTCTCCCCTGCGGTCATCTTGGTTTCTATGAGTTCTTGGAGTAGTCGGCTCGAAGAGACGGAGTCCTTGGGCTGGTAGACTCCCGTCAGGTGCCTCCAGGCGTTAAGGGCTGGAGCAGCTGTGGTTTTGTATGAACGAATGTTGAGCTGCTCCGCCGCCGACATATTCCGCAGGAGCACCCCGTACGCCATTAGTGACTCATTGTAATATCGCGCCTTGGCGTCGTCGGTGTCCTCAGCAGGCTCCGCGTAGCTCCCGTCGAAATAGTGGAAGATCTGGGCGTTCTGAAGCAGGAGCTCCAGCTCGAAGCTCCAGGTGTAAAAGTCTCTGCCGTCAAAACAGGTACTTGTCTTTATTTTTGATATGCTGAGAAACCTTGATTGAGCGGAGAGAATTGCCTCTTCACTGGGACGGGGAGTCTTGGGGGTTGAGCCATTGGTGTCGAGGGAGAAAGTTTGCGGGGTGGCGTTCTGGCCAGTCGGGGCCGGTTGAGAGGGTTGCGAGGATGTTCCCGCATCGCCATTCCGCAATGTTTGGAGCCCTTGCTCCAAGCTGGTGAGTCGCTGAAGAAGTTGTGCGAGAACTTCGGAGTTGATTGTCGTCGTGTTCTCGTTTGTCGCAGCCGGATTGGGTTGCGCTTCAGCCGTCAGATTAGTTTGACCACCAGATCCTCCGGCCATCTTCACTCGTGAGCGTGTGCCGGACGCCACTTTCCGAATGTCGCAATTTTCGGGAGTGGCAGTGCGAAGGATTCCTGAGACACTCTCATACCATGCTGCGATCAGAAATTGATCGTAGCCCAGGATCTACCCAGGAAGGTTCGCACGCAGTGAAATAGTTGGTGGGCCCTTGATCTCAATAGCAGAGTGAATGTAAATGCTTGAGATGATAAAAACATGCAAACAAGGTCATATAAATAAGAGTACAAGGGAATGCGAACAGACCTATCTAGCCATGTACTCTAAGGGGTACATTCCCTTATTCAAATTCACTCCCAACCGTGCGGCGCGTACAGTTTCGTAACTGTTCCCGCCAAAACCATCCTGCCTGCAGCTGCCCGATGCCGTCTGCTTCCGACGGTCCAGATGCGTTCCAACTGTCCGTCGCTTCGAGTCAACCGTCTGACGGTTCGCGTTCATTCTCGTTACTGCGTGCTTCTCTTTGCTGCGGTGAGGAGTGCACAGTAATATCAAATATTACTATTCGTAACACACGTCAGTTACTCCCAATGTTAAAAGAGCACGCATTCCAACACAAGACACGCTGGCACCATCGTTCTAATACATACAACATATGCAAGAAGCATTTCAGAGTAGAGGATCCATATTCAAACCACATCCGGGGAGGATACATCAGTTTGAACATGCATCCACTCTGAACACTCCCTAATGCACTGCAAGGGTCTCCCAATCTCAGCACGTAGAAAAAGCTTTTCCCATGCTCATTTCCTCTGTCGCTGGTAGCTGCTTAGCACTTGCTCTGGAACCACGGGCACCCGCAGGCAAAGTTGATGCTTGCTTTACCGCTGCACACCGCACGCCACATAGAGAACACAATCAACGTAAGCTTCCTGTGATGGAGAAAAAAAATTCCAAACACATTAAATTCCACATCCCATGCTGGGAAAAAAGAAACACCTGAGGGTGAAGCAACAGAGTATGATGCATAATGGCAAACACTCCCACCACAAAAAGCGTAGAGAGATTTTGAAAGGTGTACTTACGCTCCATTGTGCATAGAGACAGTGTCACCATCGCCAAACGCCCACACAATATTGTTGTCGTTGTCGGCCTTAACCTTCACAGATGCCCCATCGCCCTTGTTCTTGGTGAACCTGGTGTGGGGGATGGGAAAGAAGAGCACAGGTGAGAAGATGACGAGCAATTGAAGAGAGATCCATAGAGGAAAGGGAGGGAGAGAGAGAAGGGAAGGCCAATGGGTGGGAGGGTGGTGAGCGCCAGTAAGGTAGCTGAAGGATTACAAGAAAACGCACAAGGAATCTTTGAACTTAAGTTCAGAGAACTTACCACGAGAGAGCCTACAACGAGGGAACCTACACCGAAGGCTCTTACAACGAGGGATCTCACAACGAGGGATCTCACAACGAGGGATCTCACAGCGAGGGATCTCACAACGAGGGATCTCACAACGAGGGATCTCACAACGAGGGATCTTACAACGAGGGATCTCACAACGAGGGATCTCACAACGAGGGATCTCACAACGAGGGATCTTAAAACGAGGGATCTTACAACACGGGAAACTCCATATTCCAAGAGCAAACCACAATGCTTACTTCATAATGACCTTGCTGCCGGTCGTGGAAATCGAGCCCGATCCGACGGTCCACGTCGCATCGTCCGCCGACGACTGCCCGACGAGATCTTTCGTCACGGGGCTGCCCGAGGAGTCTGTGGCGATGGTGTTGCTGCCGGCCATGCCTCCATTGGGTGAGAATCCCACGGCGAACCACCCACCGGCCTTGGCCCCCGATGCCACCACGGCCATTTTGATTGTCCGCCCCTTGGTGGCCTTCCAGTGCAGCACCAGCCTGAGATGGAGAGGAGAATGCACGGGGAGGAGAGAATGCACCAGGAAAAGGGGGAATGCGCGGTGAGTGTGGCAGGCGGAAGCGGGTGGAGCGATGGGGATAGCGTATAAAGAGTCTACGGCGAACCAACCCGCGGCCTTGGCCCCCGATGCCACCACGGCCATCTTGATCGTCCGCCCCTTGGTGGCCTTCCAGTGCAGCACCAGCCTGTGGTTGGTGCGTGGGAGGGGGGGTAGAGCGAGGGGATGAGGAAGGAGCGCGGGAATGCGGGGGAAGCGGGGAATTGCGGGGTAATGCGTGGCCGAAATGTGCGGCAGGGTAGCGGGAAAAAAAGGGAAACCAGGAAGGACGTGAAACAACGGAGCAGGTGCAACCAGCAGAGAGCTCTCTGAGTGTAACCCGGCGGAAATGACGGCTATCCGTTCAATTGAGGCCGCCCGTCCGACCGTCCGTTCATAATCCGTCCGCTCTCAATCCGTCCGCCCGTCCGCTCTTATCCCGTCCGCCCGTCCGCCCATGATACCCCGTCCGCCCTTATCCCGTCCGCCCTTACCCCGGGCGTCGCTTACCCCGATGTGAGGCCAGCCTTGGACGTGTAGCCCTTGAGGTTCGACCTGCCGCAGCTGAAGCGGCTGAACAGCTGTCGACGACTGTTGGTCGCGAATGATGGCGCGCGAGGGCTCTGCGACGACGGTTCGACGCGCGTGGCGACGCCCTGCGACGCGAGGAGCAGCACGCAGCTGAGAGCGAGCAGAGAAAGCGCGAGAAGGCGGGCCATGGATGCGACAATTGGAGGCGATCAGAGGCGATCAGAGGCGATCAGAGGCGATCAGAGGCAATCAGAGGCGATCAGAGGCGATCAGAGGCGATCAGAGGCGATCAGAGGCAATCAGAGGCGATCAGAGGCGATCAGAGGCGATCAGAGGCGATTGGAGGCGATTAGAGGCGATTGAAGGCGACGGGAGGCGATTGGAGGCGATTGAAGGCGACGGGAGGCGACGAGAAGTTGGATACGGCTCAACGTGGTTTTTCGGGCCGAAAGGCTCAGCGATTGTGGCGGCGGAAGGGAACGGTGGCGGGCGGCTTAGCGTGGCGTTCGCGCTATCTGGTCGGGTGCGAGGCAGTTGGGAGGCGTTGGTGACCACGAGTATGCTTGAGCGATGCTGTGATCGTTCTACATTTTGTACGAACTTTATAAACGACGGGTCTACGAGAAGGAACGATGCCGATGGAGAGAGCCGTAAGCACGAGACAGAGGGGAGGGGGAGGAAACAGGCGAGGCGAGACGAGTCACGAGGCACTAGCGTGGGAGGTGCAGGATGGGGAAGGCGTGCGTGGGGGAGGGAGATGGGGGAGGGGGTGTCGCGAAGCTGCAGCCAGCTCATCGCAGCTTGGTTGAGCAGCTTTGACGAGCTTCGTCGAGGTGCGCGACGTGCTGTGGCGAAGTGGCTAGAGGGCTTCGTTGGGGTATGGCGAGTCGGGACGACATGCAAAAACGATGCCGCCATCCAGGTGGATCAACCGACTCGTTGACATCGCCACGTCAGGCTTCGGGAACTTCTTTCCTGCGTGTGCTGCGGTAGGCGCGGCACGGTCCCACAGGTAACGAGCACACGCCGTTGCAGAACTCGCATTTCAGCTATTGTACTAGCAACAGTTTTTTCAACCTTCGCTTCTTGTGAGTTCAGGGGTGCACCGAGGGCCGTTGTGGGCCGGATGGCGGGCGGACAAGCCTGGAACCGTGTTCTGAACAGCTCAGCTAAGTGTTTGTGAGCATCCCTCAGGGGTATTTGCTTGTTGAATGAATTACACCATAGAAACCTCTAAACAGCTCGCGATCACCGACCTATCCTAAGAAACACACTTATTGCGGTCTACATGAATGAACGCAGGAAGTCTACGAGTCCATCAACGAATGGGCAATGGTTCTATGAAAGCGTGAGACGCGGCTTGTTTCCGTCAGCATGCGAACACTGCTTTTCTGGTCAGTGACAAAGATGGGGAAAACAATCTCACCAAAAGAACCCCAGTTACGTGAATCGCAAACGTAGAAGCAGCAGTGTTCTTGCAGCTTCAAACACAAAATCACATATGATCCGAGTGTGCAGATGTGACCCAGATATACAAAAGCGTCTCTTTATGATAAATATATAATTATAAATAACAGTACTAGCTATATTTCCCCCGCGTGTGGCTTGCGCAACGTGGGGTTTTGTGGTATACAACTATTTACAGATCTAAGTTCTAGCATACACCACCTCGCTTCCCAGACATTCTCTCCTTCCACTGCCACAAGGTGTCCCTCCAGTGCCTCTGCTTTTGCCTCTTAGCCACTCTCCCCACCTGATGTGTGCTCTTGGCATCATCAGAGCTCTCGCGGCTCATACATGTCTTGTCGCTGCATTGACTGCCACAATGGCTGCTATCCTCACAGTGTGGGTCTGCATCCATTCCTGCATCATCCATTGTGGTAACACCCGTGTCAACAGCAACTTCAAGTGGAGCCTCAGCCTCCTGTGGTTGAGCACTTGTGAGAATGTCGACCCTGTCTAGCAGCTTCGTGAGCTTCCTAGCCATGTCTCGCCGCAAGTTGCGAACGTCCTGGTTCGGGGACTGCACCTCGTCCAACCGAAGCAGCCAGCTCATGATCGTCTCGCTCACCCGAAGCTTCTCCATAGGGTCGGAAACCATCTTAGCCACAAAATCTTTATCCCGAAGCTGCGCGTCCATCTCGTTAACCAGTTTCCGAACGTCAGCTATGGACCGAGCCAGTTCGAGAGGCTTGCCCTGGCGCACAGAATAGCCCCGCCATGCCGCTTGCACCTTCCGCGCAGCATTGTCAGGCGTCAATAACGATACGGGAGCAACTTTAGCAGCAGGAACGCCGGCGACGCCCGCCATTGACGACACTGCCGGCCTGTCGGGTCGCGTGCAACTATCATTGCTTGCTGGGTGCTGGACGGGTATTCGACGGAGAACTGCCTGCTCTCGCGTCTGTGGCTGTCTAATATTTGTCTCATTCACATATTGCTGCGGCACTCGCGAGCGCGCTGCGTGCTTCCGTGCAATCTCGTGTTTCCGCGTGTCATTGCGTAGTCTATGCGCCATATTCGCCGATGAGTCAAATCCGTCGTCGAACCGGAACGGATCGCCAAAAAGCGGAGACGAAGACGAGGCGAAGTTCCAAGGTGCTGGTTGGGAATGATAATGGCTCGCGTAAGGAGATGCGAAACCGTGGGGTGGTTGTCGCTCGAAAAGCAAATCTGACATACCGAATGCCATTTCTGATTCACGACTCTATCTAATGGGTTGCTGGGGATTGAAAGGCGTTTGTCTATGTCTTGAGAGTGGTAAGCTGGTTTGAATGTAAGCTGATTGGAAGTAGCTGAGATAGCTGATTAGAACGTAGTAGCTGATTTGAGAGAAAGTTGAGTGATAGTTCCACCCAGGGTTATATTTATACGAGTGGCGGCGCTGGTGACGGTGGTTCTAGAACCATCTCCCACCGTCGAGACGCATCGAGAAAGTTCTGCATACCCCAGATCCAGCAGGTTCGCGAAACCGCGTGCTGCTTCGCGAATCCGCGTGGTGCTTCGCGAATCCGCGTGGTGCTTCGTGAATCGTGTGGTACCTCGCTTGGTGCCTCGCCAATCGGGGTGTTCTTCGCGAGCCGATTGCTGCTTCGTGAAAACGCGTGGACACGAAATTGGAGGAAGCCGCAAGCGGCTCGCGAAATCGTCGTGCCCGTGTGATGGAGGAGCTTGCGAAGGGCCAGGAGCTGGGAAGTGCTGTCGATTGTGATCTGGTCACGAAGTAAGCCGAAGTCACACCCCGCTAGAACATCACAAGAATATAACTTCTGTTACAGTAGTCCAAGGAGTAAAGTCTAGTAGGTGGTACCTAGATACATTGTTGTGCGACAAAAAACAACCACAAGGGTCATACATGTAGCACGTTTCCACCCAATGCTTTGCCGTTTCTGAAGGTTAGATTCAATCTCCAACATTTTTCACTGAAATAAATGCAATCGATCTTCTGTAAAATGTACACACTCCGCTTCACAAGGCTGGTGAACAGACATCCATCTCCTAACCTAGAAACAAGCTGCAAAAGCTAGAGAGAACTGTGCTGTAGATAACAAGGAATGCTCAGCCAATGAGCTCGGAGATGGGTGGTCGTTCCATGACATAAGCGGACTGCTTTGCTGCCTTTGCCAATGAGGGGTCGATGTCGGGAAGGTATGGGATCTGGATTTGGTGTCCACGGCAGGGAGACGGAGAGAGGACGAAAAGGCAGAGGCAGAGTGAGTGGGAGATTTGATGAGTGGAGAGAGCAAGGGAGGGAGAGAGGGGAAAATGAGAGTAAGACGGAGCGTGTGAGGGGGATTTTTTGCAATACTTGCAAGAATGACCAAGAATTAACTCGAGAGTCGACCAGGAAAAACTGCTAGTGATGGGCAGAGATGGTACCGTATGTAAAATGGGTCAATTACATGACACAAACCTGAGAGAGCAGACCATGTGAGTGCAAACCTGAGAGAGCAGACCATGTGAGTGCAAACCTGAGAGAGCAGACCATGTGAGTGCAAACCTGAGAGAGCAGACCATGTGAGTGCAAACCTGAGAGAGCAGACCATGTGAGCGCAAACCTGAGAGAGCAGACCATGTGAGTGCAAACCTGAGAGAGCAGACCATGTGAGTGCAAACCTGAGAGAGCAGACCATGTGAGTGCAAACCTGAGAGAGCAGACCATGTGAGTGCAAACCTGAGAGAGCAAGTCAATGGTGCGTCGTAGCAGCCGCGCAATGTCCCCCTCGTCCAGCCCCGCACAGTCAGCGATGAGCTGGCGCCACGTCACACCCTGCGCCCACGCCTCCACCACTCCAGCGAACTGCGCGTCCAGGTCAGCAGGGATCGCCACGTTGGCAGCCAGCTGGAGCTGCATCAGCCAATCGCGGCGCTCCTCTGCCTCGTACACCCACTCCTGTACCTCCCAAGACGGCTCGTAGGGGAAGGAGGGCGAACTGTCGAAGTGGAGAGGGGTGGGGAAGGGATGAGTGGGACCAAAGGTGAGACAGAAGGGCACAGCACAAGGGACAGGGCAGACGGGGAAAGCAAGTTCTGGGACGACTCAAAAACAAATGGATAAGGTTTCGGGACGGAGCACTGCCACTGCCAACCCGCCATCCCCTGTTCTCATGCGCGTGAAAAATGCCACTACCACAACCCCTAACCTGCCGCCACCTCTGCGCATGCGCATGCCCTCAGACCAGACCAGTGTGGCGCATGCCCTCAGACCAGACCAGTGTGGCGCATGCCCTCAGACCAGACCAGTGTGGCGCAGCACCCTGCAACGGCTGGTGGTGGGCGGCACAGGAGGGAGCGGTGACACCTGCCCTCGCTCCCCTCCTCACTCTGCACATCGTTCCACTCTGCACATTGTTCCCCTCTGCACATTGTTCCCCTCTGCACATTGTTCCCCTCTGCACATTGTTCCCCTCTGCACATTGTTCCCCTCGGCCCTGCCACTGCCCACCTGTCATACCCTGTTTTCATGCCCATGCGCAATGTCAATGCAACCACTCACCTGCCCTTGCTCCCCCACATGCAGCTACCACTGCTCACCTGCCGTCGCCTGTGCGCATGCGCATGCCCTCAGACAGGAGGTGAGAGATTGTATCGTCAGCACTTCCCCTTCTGTCACTCCCACCACTCCTCATCTGCCGTCGCCTGTGCGCATGCGCCGCATGCCCTCAGACAGGAGGTGAAAATTTGTATTGTCTGAACCCAAGACCACCACAATCACTCACCTGCCGTCGCCTGTGCGCATGCGCATGCCCTCAGACAGGAGCTGAGAAATTGTATCGTCAGCACTTCCCCTTCTGTCACTCCCACCACTCCTCACCTGCCGTCGCCTGTGCGCATGCGCATGCCTTCAGACACCAGAGCAGCGCAGCACCCCGCAATGGCCGGGGGAGAGAGGCGCAGGAGGGAAGGGTGATACCTGCCATAGCCCCCCTCCTCACTCTGCACCTTGTTCACCTATGCGCTGCCACTGCCCACCTGCGGCCTGCCATCCCTTGTCTTTCATATGCGTGCGCAACGTCGATGCAATCCCTCACCTGCCGTCGCCTGTGCGCATGCGCATGCCTTCAGACACCAGAGCAGCGCAGCACCCCGCAATGGCCGGGGGCGAAAGGCGCGGGAGGGAGGGGTGTGAGAGGGCCACTGCGATCCACAGCTCGTTCACCCCTCGCACCTGCGTGCAGGCGGGGGGAAGGAATAGGGGAGGAAGCAGGGAGAAGGGAGAAGGAAAGAGAGAGGTGGGTAGGTAGAGAGGGAATGCGTGGGAGGGAGGGGTGGGAGAGCGCCACTGCAATCCACAGCTCGTTCACCCCTCGCACCTGCGTGAAAGGGAAGAGGGGGAACAGAATTGGTGAGGAGAGGGCTGTTCAAAGGCAGCTACCATTGCTCCGAGCAGCCCATGCCGCGTGCGCTGATCAACACATTCCATACACCCCGCTTTTGAAAATTCCCAAAAAACACCCCACCTGTCTCAGACACGTGTGGCAACACCTGAACACTCAGTACATTTGATAACACAGGAGCCACCAACTGAACCGGCACCTGAACAAACACTTGATCCGCATGACCATTTCGCCTCTTACTCACCTTGGCAGCAATCTCCCCAAGCGGCATGAGTGTGCTGCTCTGCGGATCCAGCGCTTCTGCCTGAGCCAGCACCTGAACCACCTGAACAAACTCCTGCCACCCGGCCGGCTGCATGCCTGCAATCCGCCGCCTCAGCGCCTCCACTCTCCTCCCCACCTTCCCCTCCTCGTACTCACACCTCCCCATCTCCGTCACCTGCTGCTGCCGCCGCTTATACACCGCTGAAGCCTTCACCCTCTTTCTGATTTGCGACAGCTTTTGCTTGTGGGCTTTAAGGGAGGTTTCGAGGGAGGAGAGCGAGGAGGGGAGGGCGAGGTGGTTTGAGTCTTCTAAGGGGGAGAGGGGGGACCAGCCTTGGGGGAAGCGGATGGCGGAAGTGAGGTGGAGGAGGGGTTGCTTGGATTTGATTCGCCACACGCTGAACGTGGGGTGAGGGGTGGATAGCCACGTGGCGGATTGTGATTCGCTGTCAGTGCTGCTGGTCGGTAATGAGTCTACTACTGCTCCCTCCCTCCTCTCTCCAGATTCTCCCATCACTCTCTCATTCCCCTCCTCTACCCACTCGCCCATACCACTTTCCTCCTCTCCTCTTCCCTCCTCCTCTCCCCCATCGTTTTCCCCTCCCCTATCCCTGAGCCATCCCTGTAGCATCTCCGGCACGGGCGGCAGGAAAATTTTCAGCTTTGCTGCCCGCTGCCAGCCAGCCGTCTCATCCGCCTCGTCCTGCCGGCCATCCGGCCAGAGGTACCTGCCGACGAGCTGCCGCCCGTCCGCTGCTGACATGGCGAGCTCTGATTGGTCAGTGGGGTCGTACTGCGCTCTGATTAGCTGGCGGATGCAGGGTGAGGGCAGGATGTACCAATAGGAGTCCTCCCCTATGACTGCCACGTAGGATGGCGAGGAGGGAGAAGGTGGGGAAGCGGAAGAAGAGGAGGAGGAAGATGAGGAGTAGGAAGAGGAGGAGGAGGATGGAGTGGTGTCGCTTCTTTGGTTGCTGTCTTTCCGACCTCCTAATTGAGTCACCTTTCCCAGTCCTTGCACCTCCCTTTCTTCTTCCTCCTCCTGCTTTCCCCCTTTTTTCCTCATTCCCCCACCGCTTCCCTTCACCCCTCTTACCCGCACCTCTCTCCCCATATCACCCCCCTCCTCCCCAGTCCCCCCCTCCTCCGCCCAGTCCTCCCCCTCCTCCTGCAGGAACGGGGGAAGCGCCTCCAGCTGCCCAACCAGCAACCCCCGAACCGACCGCACAGCCCCGGACGCCAGGTCCGGGAACTGCGCGGTTACCACGAGCCTGCGCCCCACAGGTGCAGGAGCGGGGCGAGCAGAACCCGCGTTTTCAGAACCTTCCATTTCACCAGCCACACCAGCAGCTGCTGAAGCTTCCACTGCTGCCAAACCGTCAGCCAAACCATCTTTAGCAGCAGCAGAGGCAGCAGCAGAGGCAGCAGCAGAGGCAGCAGCAGAGGCAGCAGCAGCAAGGGGTGCTTCATGAGCGTCGTGAGCCTTTTGAGCCTCATCAGCCCACAGCAGAGCCTCCTGTATCTGAGGGTCCAGGGCTGCTGCTCGCTGCTGAAACACCTGCCTCTGCAGTGTCGCCACCGTGTGCCGCGTGGACTGACGGGGAGAGAGGCCGTGGGGGTTGGGGTTACGGGGGTGTGAGAATCAAACAGGGAGGCGGGAAGGGAGTGAGCATACAATAAGACGAATCTGTATCGACTGTTGATTTGAAACTAAAAAAACACTCAGGGAAAGGGGTATCTGTGTTTACACTCATGTCTAATCGACGCCTCCCCACCACCCCGCAAAGGGCTCAGCAAATGCATGCCTCTCTCAGCACATCCCATGTCGTCACCTCACCTCAACATCCCATCTCATCTCATCTCGCTCCTCCCTTTCCCCATCCCCCAAGACTCACCAAGAACCATGCCTGATGCGGAATACGCCTGCCACCCCGCTCAGCATCCCATGACCCCATCCCCATCCCCACCACCCTCCAACCCCCCTCACCTCACCACTCACCACGAACTCCCCAATATGGCTCGGAATGCGCTGATAACCTCATCCTCCCCTTCCTCCTCACCCCGTATCTCGCTTCATCTCACCCCCGTCTCCACCAACCCCATCCCCCCACAACTCACTACGAATTCTCGAACCATGGCTCGGAACGTGCTCGTAACCTCGTCCCCCCCCTCCTCCTCTTTCCTCATCTGCCTCTCCACCTCCCCCCGGCGCTGCCTCAGCTGCACTAGCTTCTCCTCCAACGTCGCTAGCTGCTGCCGCGCCTGCTGTAGCACCTGTGGAGGGGCGAAGGATGGGGGTGGATGGGAGAGAAGTGCAAATGAGAAGGTTACTAGCGTGGCACTTCTCCTTCTCACTCCTCATCTTCATCTCCCCCAGCGCCGCCAGCTGCTGCCGCGCCTGCCATAATACCTGAGGAACCGGAGAAGGCAGGGAAAGTGGGGAAGGTGGGGGTTTGAACTTGGCATGACTTAATCCCCCCTGCGTTGCCAGCTGCCTTCACCCACCCATGCAGCTCCCCACCCACCCAACCCACCCACACGTACACACTCACACACTCTCACTTACCTCGCTCGCCAGGTAGTTTCCAAAGCTCCTCTCTATCAGTGCCTTCGCCTCCTCCATGCTGTGAGGGCTTTCTTCACCCAACCCACCCCCCCACACTCATGCACTCACACACTGACACACTCCCCCTTACCTCGCTGGCCAGGTAGTTCCCAAAGCTCCTCACTATCAGCGCCTTTGCCTCCTGCATGCTTCGCCCCCGCCGCACCGGCACTGCTGCCACAGGCACACACGCACTCATGCACTCACACACTCCCACATGCATACCTCGCTCGCCAGGTAGTTGCCAAAGCTCCTCTCAATAAGCGCTTTTGCCTCCTCCATGCTGTGAGGGCTTTCTTCACCCAACCACACCCTCACACTTACGCACTCAAACACTCCCTTTACCTCGCTCGCCAGGTAGTTGCCAAAGCTCCGCTCTATGAGTGCCTTTGCCTCTTCCATACTGCGCCCCCGCCGCACCGGCACCGCCGCTGCTGCTGCTGCTTGTGCTTCGCCTTCCTCTCCTGCAGCAGCTATTGCAGCCTGCTCGCCTGCAGCGCCGTTGCTGGTAGAGTCACCCCCGCTCGAGTCACCTCCCTCTGGGCTCGCACCACCGCTGCCAGCCTCTGCCTTCTCCTGCCACACAGGCGCGCCCTGCGGAAAAGACATGAGAGGAAAAATGAGAATGAGAGTGAGAATGAGAATGACAATGAGAAAGCAATTGAAAATGAAAAGGATGGGGGACGAGGGGTTCGAGAGGGCAGGGAGCGGGGGGGAGGAGGGGGGTGTGGAAAACAAGAGAGGAGAAGACGAGGGGATGTAGACAAATCTGCTCTCAATGCACATCAGCCGAGTATGTTTTTTGAGAACCCTCAAAGAACATACTCAGCTCCCAATGCATGTTTTTTGAGAATTCTCAAAAAGCATACGCTGCACATGAGCCTGATTAATGAATAACCACGCACAAGGTGAACCAGACGGACACACACCCAACCCCCTTTTGAGAATTCTCAAAAAGGCATGTAGACAGATCAGCTCTCAACGCACATCAGCCAAGGTGCGGCTGATTAATGAATCACCACGCACAAGGTGAACCAGACGGACACACACCCAACCCCAGCAGGTTGAGCGCCCATGCCATAGAGGTGACTGACTTTTGAGTCGACTCAAAAGTCACCTTAAGGTGGCCGTGAACTGCGAGGACGGCTAGCAGGTCAGCCGCCCCTCTCCCCCCTAGCCAGCAGCAGGCAGGCGCAACTCCAGAGTCCTCTCACCTGGAGACTGTTGGTGTTAGCCCTCAATCTCACAATTTGTACTTGTACTTTTATATCCTAGTTTAGTTTAGTGTAGTTTGCACTTTGTGTTTGGTTGGGTGTACACCCACATCCCAACCAAACCCAAATGTAATCTCCAAGCAATCTCCAACCCACCAATTGGAGCTTGCCTTGGGATTACCCTTGATTCCCTAGGATTGCCCCCTGATTCCCCTCTCATCCATACCTTGCTCATTCCTGATGTACTTAAAGAGCTTTGAGCTCACTACTAATGTATCAGTTCTAAGCCTAAGTTCTGACATGGTATCAGAGCCCTTCAACCGCATACGCGGATCGTGATCCTCTTATCTTCGCGGATGCTCGTCCCGCAAACCTCGGCGTAGCCATCGTCAATCTCGTCGCCGGTGATTCGCGACGTCCGTAGGCGGAAATCTTCCCGCACCACGTTCCCGTCAATTTCGACGACGTCAACAATCTTTCTGGTAAGCGCATCGTCGGCGCTCTAACCTATCACTCGTTTTCGTCGAGCGCGCTCGTCTTCGTCGAACGTTTTCGTCGGCCTTCTTCTCCTCGTCGGGCCGCCGCCCGTCGCCCCGCAGCTTCTCGTCGGGCCGCCGCCCGTCGCCCCGCAGCTTCTCGTCGGGCTGCCGCCCGTCGCCCCGCAGCTTCTCGTCGGGCCGCCGCCCGTCGCCCCGCTGCGTCATCTTCGGGCCGCCGCCCGTCGCCCCGCATCTGCACTTCGACCCCCATCCCCCCCGTTTCCCGCAGCTGAACAGGTGCAGCAGCGCAGCCGAGCAGCAGCGTAGCCGCGAAGCAGAGCAGCCGTGTAGCCGCGAAGCCGAGCAGCAGCGCAGCCGCGAAGCTGAGGGTGGTGTGTGGGGGGGTGTGTGGGATTAGGGTTAGTTCTACCAAAGTCGGCCGATTCGACCTAATTTCGATGGCCTGAAAACTCCTTCTACGAGGCAATTCGACGCGGCCGACATTGACGATTTTTGCCTTTCGCGTCCGTCGGATTTCGAAGTGACTATCGGTGACTTAAGAGCGGTGCTCCGCGCGAGAATTTAAGGGGCCTCCACCATGGCTCTCTCATCTTCCACCGTGGCCAACCCCATCACACCGCTCTGCCTTGAAGCTGATGGCTCTAGCTCCAACTTCAAGGCATGGAGCTACGGAGTTGACAAGCACCTCCTGAGCCGTGACGTGCAGGGCCTTGACCTCAAGGACGTCCTCCTCAACCGTGGCAAGGGGAAACAGCCTACTCTCCCCAGTGAGCCGACCGAATCTTCTAATGATGCTGACGTGAGGGCGTACGAGGAAGCTGTTGAGAAGTACCGGAAATGGGAGAAGGCCGATGCTGCCATCATCAGCGTCTTCATCGCCTCCACCCCTCCCGAACTTGTCAACACGTTCCACAACTACCCTACCTCCAACGCCATCTGGAAGTATCTCCAGGATCGGTTCATGAACAAGACGGCGGTCGGAGTGGCGATCCTCATCCCCAGCATGTTTCAGGTCCGACTTGAGGACTGCTCAGGAATAGCCGACTACATCGCCAAGGTGCAGACCATCCATGGTGAATACAAGGAGCTGGGTATAGTCTTCCCCGAGCAAGCCCCTGCAGCCGCCCTTCTTGTTGGACTCACCTCGGCATATGAAGTCACGAGGAAGATGCTCCTCACGCTCTCAGCGGAAGACCTCACCTTTGCTAAGGTCTCCACCGCACTCCTCTCTGCCGAGAAAGACTCCACGGCTCAGGCCAAGGCGTACGCCATCCGCGCTCCCATGCCCCAAGCAAGTGTCGCAGCGGCTCTCGCCTCGGCGCCCTTCCAGCGCAACCGCTTTCCTCCGTGCCCCTACGTCGTCAAGTATGGCAATAGCAAGGGACAAGTGTGTGGTGGCACTAACCACCCCCTTGCTACGTGCTTCAAGAAGAAAGACGACGAGTGGTATGCCCTCCACGGATGCGCCCTCGTAAGGCCAACCTAGTTGAGGTCCAGGACCCCGCTAAACCAAGAGCAAACTGCGCCAACAGCCCCATCCTGCCTCACCCACAGTCGCAGCAGCACCACTGGACCTCGTGCACATGGACGTCTGGGGCCCTGCCCCTGTTCTCGCACGAGGTGGCTATCGCTACTTCCTTGTTATCGTGGATGACCACTCCCGCTACGTCTCTGTTCACCTCCTCCACTCTAAGGCCGAGGCTCCAGAGGTCATTATAGCGTGAGTTAAGCAGGCACAGACCACTTTTGACCGCAAGGTCAAGCGCCTTCACTCGGATGGGGGGGGTGAATTTTGCAACGACAAGCTCAAAGCCTTCTGCTCCTCAGAAGGCATCCAGCAAAACTTCACCCTTCCAGACAGCCCGTAGCAGAACGGCATCGTAGAAAGCCGCAACCACACCCTGGTGCAAATCACTCGGTGCCTCTTCAGCCACTCCAATGCTCCACTCTCTCTCTGGGGATACGCCCTCTACCATGCTGCCCTCCTCTACAATCTTTACCCCCACCCGCATCTTCCCGACACCACTCCTACCACACTCTGGCTCGGGAAAACACCCACTGCTCGCTCTCTTCGCGTCTGGGGGTGCACCGCCTGTGTCCTCCTCAACCCTCAGGCCAGGCGGCAGCACAGTGGCAAACTCGGCCCCAAGACTCAGACGTGCGTCTACCTTGGGCACAATGCCGACTCCCTAGACTACCTCTTCCTCAACCCCTCCACCCAACAGCTAGTTCGGAGCCGCGACGTGGTCTTTGATGAGACCCGCCCATTCTACTCCACCTCGGGTCAGGATCCTCCCTCTGACCCACCCTCTCTCGTCTGGGCAGACTTTAATGCGCCTCCCGAACTCCCGCCTGCACTTGCCCCCTCACCTCCTACCTCTCCTGCCATCGCACCATCCCCCTCTGCGGTCTCTGACCCGACCTCACCGGTGTCTTCGGCAGCAGCTCCCTATCTCCCTCCCCTTCCCCTCTGCCAGCTGTGCCGCCCCCTCCGAGCGCACCAATCACATACCATCAGCGGTCGAACCCTCCGGCCCCACCTCCTCCACCAGTCCCCTCTTCCACCAGCGGCGCCCAATTCCCCCGCCCAAGTCTCCCAAACCAACCCCTTCGACACCACCTGCTCCACCCTCCTCTCCGGTGGCTCATCACACTCGTTCGCACGGCGCTGCTCTTCCGCTGGCCCTGGTTCTTCGCTGCACAGCGATCACACCGCCTCCTCCTGCTGGGGGGGATATGCCTTCTACCCTCCTGGAAGACTGGCATGAGGAGCTATGTGATCTCCATGCAGTCACCCCTCAGCTCTCGCACATCTTCCCCGACATCACTGACTCACCCTCACTCAACCTCACGGAAAACCCGACCATCCCCATCCCTCTCACCGTTCAAGAGGCTCTCTCGAGTCCCCATGCTGCTGAATGGCGTGCTGCCATGGCGGTGTTCAAAGCGCGTTACGTGGCCAAAGGGTTCACCCAGCAGCAGTACCTGGACTTCTTCAAGACCTTCTCCCCTACATCCAAACCACCCACTGTTCGTACGCTCATGGATGTCGCAGCTCGAGAAGACTTTGAGATCAAATCCATGGACGCATCTTCGGCCTTCCTACAAAGACGCCTCAAGGAAACTGTATTCATGGATCGACCTGAAGGCTTTCCAGGAGAGTTCCCTCCCAACACTGTCTGGAAGCTGAATCGCCCTGTCTACGGCCTCAAGCAAGCCCCTCGGGAATGGCACAACAAAGTGAAGGAAGTTCTTCTCTCACTGGAGTTTCACCCATCCTCTGCCGACCCGACCCTCTTCCTTCGTCGCCACTCTGACCCATTCTACATCCTTGTCTACGACTTCATCCTCGTTGCCAAGGACTCGGCCCAGATGGCCTCTGTTCAGGAGGCCCTAAGCAAGGCCCTCTTGATGAAAGACCTCGGTGATCTCAAACACTACCTGGGGATGGAAATCACTCGCGATCGCCAGGCTCGCACCATCTCACTCTCCCAGGAGTTCTACATCAACAATGTGCTCAAGCGGTTTGAGATGGAGCGGTGCACACCCATCGCCACCCCACTGCCGCTACAACACCTCCTCACCGCCCCAGCTGTACCCACACCAGAGGCATGCACCGAGCCGTACCCAGAGCTTGTTGGGTCCCTCATGTACGCCATGATGTGCACCCGGCCTGACTTGGCATACCCTGTCAGTGTCCTCTTTCGATATGTGGCTCCTGGGCGCTTCACAGACCTTCATTGGAAAGCGGCAAAGCGGGTGTTGCGCGATCTGCAGGGCACCAAGTCTCATGTCCTCACCCTTGGTGGGCTTTCCCCTCCTCGACTGGAAGGCTACACGGACTCCTCCTGGGCAGATGACCAGACCGACCGACGCTCCTCCCAAGGCTACTGCTTCACCCTTGGGAGCGGGATTGTCAGCTGGCGCTCCACCCGGTCGTCTGCAGTCCCCCTATCCTCCTGTGAAGCCGAACTCTATGCCGGCACCATGGCGGCTCAGGAGGCCCGCTGGCTCACATTCCTACTCCAGGAGCTTGGCTTTCCTCAGTCCACTCCCACCCTCTGGTGTGACAACCAGAGCACCATTCACCTCTCCCAGGATCCCGTGTACCACACTCGCACCAAGCACATCGAACTTCGGCACTTCTTCATCCGTGACCTTGTCCAGCGAGAGCAGCTCAATGTGGAGTATGTGGCTTCCGACTGCAACTTGGCTGATCTGTTCACCAAGCTCCTTGGGAAGGTCCCTCACCATCGCCTTCTAGGCGCCATGGGGCTCTGCGCTCCTCCTTCTCCACCCTGAGTTCGATTGACGCCTATGGGGGGGTGTTGGTGTTAGCCCTCAATCTCACAATTTGTACTTGTACTTTTATATCCTAGTTTAGTTTAGTGTAGTTTGCACTTTGTGTTTGGTTGGGTGTACACCCACATCCCAACCAAACCCAAATGTAATCTCCAAGCAATCTCCAACCCACCAATTGGAGCTTGCCTTGGGATTACCCTTGATTCCCTAGGATTGCCCCCTGATTCCCCTCTCATCCATACCTTGCTCATTCCTGATGTACTTAAAGAGCTTTGAGCTCACTACTAATGTATCAGTTCTAAGCCTAAGTTCTGACAGAGACACCTTTCTCACACACACACATGCAGCCACACCGGGTGACCCGTCACCCGCCCCCATGGGACTCTTGAGAATTCTCAAAAGTAACACCTTTCACACACGCATGCAGCCACACCGCATGATCCGTCACCCGCCCCCATGGCACTCACCCCCAGCAGGTTGAGAGCCATGCCGTAAGTGGCTGTGAATTGAGACACAAGCGGGTCAGCGCCCCCCAGCAGCAGGCGGCAGCAGTCCTGCGCGCCCTCAAAGGGCGTCTGCACCACCACCACGTGCCATACCACTCAGTGTCTCCGTGCACTTCCAACCACACTCACCCCCAGCAGGTTCAGAGCCATGCCATAAGTGGCTGTGAACTGCGACACGAGGGGGTCAGCGCCTCCAAGAAGTAAGCGGCAGCAGTCCTGCGCGCCCTCAAAGGGCGTCTGCACCACCACCACGTGGCCCTGCCTGTCCTTGCCCCTCCTGCCCGCCCGCCCCGCCATTTGCAGCATCGCATTGGCTGAGAGAAGGCTGCGACCCGCGTTGCCCCTGCACACAGAGCGATGAGAGTGGAATAGGAAGATGATGAGAGGGAAGAGGGAAGGGGAATGAAAGGGCGTCTGCATCACCACCACGTGGCCCTGCCTGTCCTTGCCCCTCCTGCCTGCGCGCCACCCTATCTGCAGCATCGCGTTGGCTGAGAGAAGGCTGCGACCCGCGTTGCCCCTGTGGTGAGAAAGAGGAGTAGAGAGCAGGAACGAACATGGATGAACATGAACAGTTGGCACCAGGGGATAGCGGATAGCAACAACAGATGCCACTGCAGATACCATCACACATACCATTACACGTACCATCACACACGCCAGCACACACAACATCACACTTGTATCACACACAGCAACATGCATCCTTACCCGCCCAGATGTTTGGAGAGAGCAGAGAGCACGGTGGTGCGTGCAGGCATGTTGATGCCTGCTGACAGGGTCTCTGTTGCGAATACCACCTGATGGGGAGTGGAGTGAGTGGAAGGGGGAGGGGGACAGAACAGGGAACACTGAGATGAGAAGCTGTGTGGGCGTGGGAAGGAGGGACAGAGGAGAGCGCACAGAGCATGGTGGTGCGTGCAGGCATGTTGATGCCTGCTGACAGGGTCTCTGTTGCGAATACCACCTGATGGGGAGTGGAGTGAGTGGAAGGGGGAGGGGGACAGAACAGGGAACACTGAGATGAGAAGCTGTGTGGGCGTGGGAAGGAGGGACAGAGGAGAGCGCACAGAGCATGGTGGTGCACGCTGGCATGTTGATGCCTGCTGATAGCGACTCTGTTGCGAATACCACCTGATGGGGAGCGGGGAAGAAGGGGAGAACAGAGAATGGAGTGAGGGGCGGAGAGCACAGCACAGAGAGCACAGTGGTGCGAGCCGGCATGTTGATGCCAGGTGATAGAGTCCCTGTAGCGAATGCCACCTGATGGGGAGTGAGTGGACGGAGGGAGGAAGGGAGGGCTGAAGAGGAGGAGAGAGAGAGAGTGAGGAAAAGGCGAGCAGGCATGTTGACGCCCGCTGATGGAGCCTTCGTGGCGAATAGCACCTGGTGTGGAGTGGGGGGAGTGGAGTGGGTGGAGTGGAGTGGGGTGACAGGGAAAACTGGTTGAGGAAGCGGAGTGGGCGTGGGACGGAGATAGATGGGACAGCGCTGGGTGCACTGCAAACAGTGGTGCGATGCGAGCAAGCAGGCATGTTGACGTGACGATGCCCGCTGACAGAAGAGAAGAGAGGAAAGATGAGAGAGTCACACCACACACCGCGCCACGCGGCATGTGGCACCTCACTCACAGCGCCACACAGCACCACACAGCGCCACACAGCGCCACACAGCGCCACACGCACCTTGACGAGCCCGCGTTGAAAGAGGTCTTCAACGAACCCCTTCCAGGGCGGCAGGCACCCCGCGTGGTGCGCCGCCACTCCCCTCTTCCACGCCTCACCATCAGCCCAGCAGCCCAACAGAACCGCACCGCACCACACCACGCCATACCATACAGAACCGCACCACATACCACCGCACCCCGCCACACACACCTTGACCAGCCCCCGTTGAAAAAGGTCCTCCACGAACCCCTTCCAGGGAGGAAGGCACCCCGCATGGTGCGCTGCCACGCCCTTCATCAACGCCTCCCCATCATGCAGCAGACCCACCAAACCACCCAGCCCAAAAGCCCAACAGCACACCCAGACAATAGAAGTTGAGAGAAAGGGGGCGCACCTTAACCAGTCCCCGTTGAAAGAGGTCCTCCACAAACCCCTTCCAGGGAGGAAGGCACCCCGCGTGATGCGCCGCAACTCCCTTCTTTAACACCTTCCCATTAGCCCAACAGCCGAACAGCACCGCTCAGCGCTGCACGGCACTGCATAGTACAATACAGAACCATACAGCACCGCACACCACCGCACACACCTTAACCAGCCCGCGTTGAAAGAGGTCCTCAACAAAGCCCTTCCAGGGAGGCAGGCACCCCGCGTGGTGCGCCGCCACGCCCTTCTTGAGTGCCTCCACCGACCCCTCCCTCACCGCCTCCGGCTGCTGCTGCCTCAGCGCTGCTATGGCTGCTTCCACTTCTGCCTGTGAGCAGAAAAAGGGGAAGGCGGAGGGGAGAAATGGGCAAAGGGTAGGGCAACAGAAAGTCTCACCCTCCCTCCCTCACTGCCGTCTCTAGCTGCTGCTGCCTCAGCGCTGCTATGGCTGCTTCCACCTTCGCCTGGGGGAACAACACAGATGGAAGAGTGTGGAATGAAGCAGGGGCCGCTCCCTCACCGCCTCCAGCTGCTGCTGCCGCTGGCTGCTGCTGCCTCACTTCCATGCACTCACCTCTTCCCTCTCCCTCACCTGTTCACTGGGCGACAGCAGGTTGGTATCCCTTACAAACGACACGGCCGTGTCACACCCGCGGCGGCTGAAGATGAACCAGATGGTGGGCAGCATGTCCTTCTTTCTAAGCTAATCCTGTTGCAAACATGCGCATCCACTCCCTCATCTCTTCCCCTTCTCCTCACCTGTTCACTGGGCGATAGTAGGTTGGTATCCCGCACAAAGCTCACAGCCGTGTCACACCCTCGGCGACTGAAGATGAACCATATTGCCGGCAGCATGTCCTTCTTTCTCAGCTGCTCCAGCGTGTCTCTCACCCGCGGCACCTGCCGGCGCCACTGCTGCTGCACCTGCTGCGCCGACAGCTCCTCTACCCGACTCTTTGCCTCCCCCCGTCGCCCCCTCCCCACCAGCTCAGCTAGCCCTCCCCCGCTACGAGACAAAGCCGCCGCAATTCCTTTCCCGTTCTTGCCGCCCTTTTTGCCTCCTCTCCCTGCGTCTCTGTCCGCTCCTCTCCCCGCGAAACCCTTAGATTCCTTCCCTCGCCTGCCGCCGCTGCTGCTGCTGCTGCTGCTGATTTGATCGTCTGCATCCCACCGTTGGAAGGACCTGCCACTGCCACGTGGCAGCATCCTACTGGATTGGAGCTCCTCCAATAAGGGGTCGCCAGCTGGGCGCAGCAGCAGCTGACTGGTAAAGGGACGAGGGAGATCATGGGGCATGGGGGGGGGGGAAGTGGGGACAGCACGGGGGCAGAGCGAGGAATGAGGAGCTGAGTTGGGGAAAAGACATGGAGGGTGGGGAAAAGTGAAGGTCCGCAAGAAACGGGGGAAAAAGGAGGAGGGGCAAGAGGAGATGGGAGGGGAACAGTGGCAAGAAAATGCAAGGGGGAGGAGGAGACAAAGCGAGAGGAGCGGGGGGACAGCAGAGAAGCGAGCGAGTGGATGCATACGTACGGGTTGATGTCACGGCCACGGTTGTCAAGGAGAGGTAACATGCAGTGGAAAGGGAAGGAGAGAAGCGAGTGTGAGTGTGTGTGTGTGCGTGTGTGCGAGTGTGAGTGTGCATGCGTACGGGTTAATGTCACGGCCGCGGTTGTCAAGAAGAGGCAGCATGCGGGGGAAGCGGAAGGAGAGAGGCGAGTGCGAGTGTGTGCGTGTGTGTATGTGTGTGTGCGTGCGTGTGTGCGTGTGTGCGTGCGTGCGTGCGTGCGTGCGTGCGTGCGTGCGTGTGCGTGCGTGCGTGTGTGTGTGTGTGTGTGTGTGTGTGTGTCTGTGCGCGCGAGTGCATGCATACGGGTTGATGTCTCGGCCGCGGTTGTCAAGAAGAGGCAGCATGCGGAAGCGCGTGGAGAAGTGCCACTTGAGCGGTACCGGGCGGTGCTGTGAGGTGACGAGCTCCGTGCGCCCGTGCACCTGATGGCACACAGGCAAACAGGCAGGCAGGCAGGCAGGCAGATGGGCAGGTGGGCGGGCAGGCATGCAGGCAGGCAGGCAGGCAGGCAGATGCGCAGGCAGGCAGATGGGCAGGCAGGCAGATGGGCAGATGGGCGGGCAGGCAGGTGGGCGGGAAGGGAAATTGGGAACGTGATGGCTTGGTGCCTACCAGCTCAGAGTTCATTGGCCTTTGGGGCACCTCAAGCATGGGCTCGTTGCTACCAACTCCACTCTACCCACCGGCTCACCTCTTCTTGAGTGCAGTTACTAATCGGCTCACTGTCGAAGTTAGAATTTGAGTGGACTGGTAACTCGGCTGACGAACTCACCCTGCCAATCCAGTCTGCAAGCTCATCAGGGTTGGCGACCGTGGCAGAGAGGCACACGAGCTGGATGGACTTGGGGCAGTAGATCACCTGCAGGTAGGGAAGCGGGGGGTGGATGAGGAAGCGGGGGGTGGATGGGAAGGGGGGATTGGGAGGGTGGGGGGAGACTGTTGAGACGTCTCACGAGGCACACGAGCTGAATGACCGTGGGGCAGTAGATCACCTGCACTCAGGGGGTGTGGGGGGCGGGGGAAGGGTGGGTGGGTGGGTGGGTGGGAGAGACTTTAGTTACGCCTCTCACGAGGCACATGAGCTGAATGGCCGCGGGGCAGTAGATCACCTGCATACATACAGGGGGTGTGGGGGCAGAGGGAAGGGTGGGTGCATGGAATGCTCATCTTCTTGCAGCAGGCGTACAGACAGCAGGTATGCTTGCTTGCATCGTAGCTAGCCCTACAGCCAGGCCGAACATAAGGTGAAGTGTGATTCGGCCGAGTGAAACCCAATCCCCGCCAGCCAGCCCATATCCCCTCACACACCATCTCCCCCCACACAGTACCCTCTGGAAATGTCAGACTGGTCTCACAGCTCACACCTGTAATGCACCTCACCTCGTCCAGCACCACTGGTGTGAGCTGTGGTAGTTTTGAGTCGACTCAAAAGTCACCTCGTTTTGAGTCGACTCAAAAGTCACCTCGTTTTGAGTCGACTCAAAAGTCACCTCGTTTTGAGTCGACTAAAAAGTCACCTCGTTCTGAGTCGACTCAAAAGTCACCTCGTTCTGAGTCGACTCAAATGTCAGACTGGTATCACAGCTCACACCTGTTAAGTAATGCACCTCGTCCAGCACCGCTGGTGTGAGCTGTGGTACCCATATTCCACCACCAGCCAGCCCATCCCCCCTCACTCACTCACCGTCTCCTCCCACACAGTCCCCCGTGAGACATCCAACAGGTAATGCACCTCGTCCAGCACCACCGCCTGCTGTGCGTGCTGTGGCTTACTGTGTGCACAGGAAGGTGGGCACAGGTGATGACTCTTACAGTCCCTCCCACTCACCGTCTCCTCCCACACAGTGCCTCTCGAAATATCCGAGAGGTAGTGCACCTCGCCCAGCACCACCGCCTCCTGTGCGTGCTGTGGGCCTGTGGCAGGCAGTACCTTGCCAAATCCTACCACACAGGGACGTACAGCAGAGAGTTGCCACCCCACTCACCGTCTCCTCCCACACCGTCCTCCTTGATATGTCAGACAGGTAATGCACCTCGTCCAGCACCACCCTTGCTGCAAGGCCAAGCCATGACACTCACCGTCTCCTCCCACACAGTCCCCCTGGAGATATCCGAGAGGTAATGCACCTCGTCCAGCACCACCCTTCCAGTGCGTGCTGTGGCAGTCAGTACCTTGGTGCAATGCCCCAAAACACGAGTCTCACCGTCTCCTCCCACACAGTCCCCCTGGAGATATCCGACAGGTAATGCACCTCATCCAGCACCACCGCCTCCACGCCCCTCAACCTCTCCTCCTCCGCCTCGCCCGCCCCCATGCTGGCAGGAGGGAGGGAAAGTGGGGAGGAGAGGTAGGGAGAGTGAGAGGCAGGGATTGAAGGGCATGGGGAAGGGGAAAGTGGTGGGGAGAGAAGAGGAGGGGATATATAAAGTGCAGCTTGTTGAATGTATGGGAGGGGGAAGGAAAGGTGAAAAGGGCAGCGGGTGGTACATACATGACGTTTCTCTTTATTCACACCACACCACCATACCTGCTGTAAAGCAATTTTTTACAACCACATCTGGTGTGGAGCATGTCATTATAGTCACATAAGGTGAAGAGCATGTTTCTAGTCACACCTGGTGTAGAGAATCTCGCTATAGTCACACACCACACCTGGTGTAGAGCATGTTGCGCATCTAGCCCCCTCTATAGTCACACCTGGTGTAGAGCATGTTGCGCAGGATCTCAGTGGTCATGACGAGGATGGGCGCGTCTCGGTTCACTGCCACGTCACCAGTCAGCAGCCCCACGTTGCCCTCCCCAAACTTCACCCTGCCATGCCACGTGGCGGATCAGCACTGGTTGAAGCACGTGGACAGTGACGAAGCAGGCTTGTGATGCAAAAGGAAGAAGAAAAAAAGGGAGGGAGAAAATCGAATGGCACTGCTATCGCTTGTGGCAGCATTGCTTCCTTTCCTTCTTGAAGCGCACAACACCAAGAAGAAGAACTGCACTGCACCTGAAGTCACGCAGCTTCTGGTTGGAGAGCGCTTGCTGCCACTCACAAGCACCTCAATCTGAGGCACCTTTAAGGCGCTTGGCAGGAGGCAGCACACCTGAAGTCGCGCAGTTTCTGGTTGGAGAGCGCTTTGAGCGGCGTGGTGTAGATGAGGCGCCCTCCCCTCGCCATTGTAGCTGCTGCCGCTGCCTCCCCCACGAGTGTCTTGCCACTGCTGGTGGGCGCACACACCACCACCGACGAGCCTCGCAGAAACGCCTCTATCGCCACTCGCTGCAGGGAAGGAAGGGTTTGGAATAAAAGTTAAAAGAATCAGGATTGATTGCTGCTGCTGCCTCCCCCACGAGCGTCTTGCCGCTGCTGGAGGGCGCACACACCACCATGACCCTCGCAGAAAGGCCTCTATTGCCACTCGCTGTAGGGAGGTTGAACGTGGGGTTGAGGTTTTAAAGTTGGGGTTGAGATTGTGTAAGAAACACAGCTGCTGCCTCCCCCACGAGTGTCTTGCCGCTGCTGGTGGGCGCGCACACTATCACTGACGACCCTCGCAGGAACGCCTCTATCGCCACTCGCTGCAGGGAAGGGGGCGAGGGAGGGGTGGGGAGGGGAGAGGTGCGGGACGAGGGGAGGGAGGGGGGATTTGGGAAAATGGGAGAGTGGGGAGTCAGGCGCCTTGCATTGATTGTCTTGCCGCTGTTGGTGGGTGCACACACCACCACCAATGACCCACGCAGAAAGGCCTCTATCGCCACCAACTGCAATGGGGGAGTTTGGGGTTTAGGCTTTAAGGTCCAGTTTAGGATCCGGAGAATCGTGGTTGAGGGTTTAAGGTCAGATTGAGTTAGGCGTTTGGGTTGAGAAATCAAGGTTAGGTTTGAGGGTTAAGGGTGCGGGTTGAGGGGTTAAGGCTAGTTGTGAGGGTCAAGGGTGTGACTTGAGGGCTTACGGTCAGATTGGGGGTTGAGCGTGTGGCTGAGGGAATAAGGTTAGAGCTGCTGGTTACGGGTGTAAGTCGAGGGTTTAAGGACAGATTGGGGGTTAAGCGTTTGGGTAGAGAAATAAAGCTTATAATTGAGGGTTATGGTCAGAGTTGAGGGTTTGACGGTTAAGAGAAGCTGTTGCGGGCAGCGAATGCAGGACGGCCGAAATGTAAGGAAGGAGGAGTGCGTGATGGGCCCATCAACAGCTGTGCCCATGGTGACGCTTAGAAAAGGATCAACGGCTGGCTGCAATCTCATGGTAAAGCATCCAACGGTTGGTGTCATTCACCTGGAACTTGTCAATGGGGTGATCAAACAGCCTCGCCAGGTCACGAGCCGTGATCACCGCACCACTTGCACCACCAGCAGCAGGAGCAGCAGCAGCGGCGGCGGCGGCGGCGGCATACTGAGCTTGCTGCACCCGCATCTGCAACTGATGCACCCTCTCACTCATGCTCATCCCCTCCATACCCATCCCCTCCCCTTCCTCCTCCTCCTCCTCCTCCTCCTCCTCCTCTTCCTCTTCTTCCTCCTCCTCTTCCTCTTCCTCTTCCTCTTCATAGTCACTCTCCCCTACAATCACATCCAGCACCCCCTCCTCTAGCTCCTCCAGATCCTCCCCGCCCCCATCCTCCTCCACCTCGTCATCGTCCATCTCGAATCGCGCCATACCTCCGCCAATCGCGGCGCCACCTGCGCCCCGCTCTCTCTGCTGCTGAAGCGACTCAAATCTCTCCATCAGCTGGTCCACCGTTCTAGTCACATTCCGCTCATCCTCGCTGTAACCGCCTCCGTTATAAGCACTCGACGCGTTATAAGCGCCACCGAAACTGCTTGTCTCATCGTTCCAGCCTTGGGATCTCCAGCTGTCCGATCCGTTATCAACTGATTCGCTACCAACTCCGTCGTTTCCGCGTGTCCCACCTCTACGCTTCCCCTTCCCCGTATCCCTCTGCTCCGCACTCCCCCGTATCGTACTGGAAACCTCCCCCAGGTCTTCCGCCTTCCGATCTGAAAACCCTAATCCTTGCGCCCTCCGCAAACCCCCTCTTCCCCCAAGTCCCATACTCCGAAGTCCATTCCATTCGTGTCTTGAGAATGTACCCTTCCCCGCGCTGCTTCTGTACAGCTTTATTCGCGCCGAGCGGGGAAACGCGCTCGGCGCGGCGGAAGGGAGGCGGAGTGAGGGGAGAAGGGGGAGCGAGATGAGGGGGAGAGAGCGGAACGAGGCGCAGGAGGAGGGGAGCTGAGGGGATCCAGATGCGAGACACGACGGGGTAATGAGGGAAGAGTAATTGCCGACGCGGGGATTTGAAACCGCGACGCATCGCGGATGAGCGGAGGTTGCCATAAGGGCGACCCGTCGCAGGTCCGAGACAGACTGTCAGAAAGCCCGTCGCCTGCGTCCGCGAATTACTGATTTCTGATGTCTAATCTTCGAATCGCCACTCTGGCAGCTACTCCATTAATCGCATCTCGCTCGCGTAGCGCAGTGGCGTCGAGCGCAAATTCTGGCAAGAACGAGTTCAGACGCCGATCGCGACGCGACGAGGGATGACCACGTGGCCACGCCGACCCTCTCTGGTTCAGCTACTGGCTTGATCGGGGTGGTATGGAGGGTGACTCTGCTGAAAGTGCTGTTTTGGGGACAGATATCCGCGGTCAGGATAGATAGGCCCAGGTTTTGCTGAGGCGCATTCGCAAACACAGCGGGAGACATTCGGGTTTTCGAATGACGGCTTTGGAACGCGTCGCGTTGCAAGTTCGTTGCAGTTACCACCAGTGCGCGGCGCAATGATTCATCGACTGAAAATGCCCTCGGCTGGCCTGGGGATTCGCCGCCGCAAAAGCCCGCGAATATATCCACCAGATATTTTTGTTTTGTGCCCTTTCCGCAACAAACGTCCCGTGCTTTAACAGCACATATCGTTATACTGGATGGCTGCACCGTATTGCACTGTAGCACATCCAACTCAACCGTTCGACGAATGAAAACTGGATAGCCCAGGCTTGGCAGGCCCAAATTGCTGACAGACACCGTGCTAGACCGCACCAAATCGCGTAACAACTGCATCCTGTCTATCCCACGCAGCTCCATTTTCCGCAAATACAGTCGGTGCTCATTTCAAGAACACCAGGTAGGCGGGCGGCATGTGAGTGAAACGAGTTTTGAGCAATTCGCCACATTCGCCCTTGTCGCCACGGGCAAAATTGTGATTATATAACGAAATTGGAATGTGAAACGAGTCTAGGGGTTTAAGTTCGTAACCAGGTAAACAATTCTGATGACAGGCAGCCGTTGTTGTTTATGAACTGTAGATGTTTTTCTTCCTCGACTTGGTGACTGTACCCCGAAATCAGCACAATCACCACTCACAGGCAAAACGTTCGCGAGTGACTGATTTTCTGATAAGCAAATTTTTGTGATAGGCTGAGCATCGACTGTACTGTGTGCTTTGGTGGAGCTGATTTGTGCGAGCTTGCACAAGCCTGGCTTGCGAGCTTGTTGCCGCCGTTAGCATTAATGTTTTATGATATTACCGGCATGATACTCGCAACGAATCCTTGATCCTTTTCTTACCCGTCGCCCGCATCGTATTGTTAATGTGCGACTGTCGGCCGTATAGTATCGGTCGAGTCGCTCACGACGTTCGCGAAAGTCGCTTGTTTTCGTCTGCACTGTCTGCGTTAGCGACATCCATTAGCGAGCGTCAAGCGACCGCAGCGACAATGTTTCCCTGCCGCGCGCTTTCTTCCTGCGCGCGGCTTCAAATGATCCTCTTTTCGCACGTCCCCCTGCGACTCTCTGCGACCACCTGGCGATCATCTCCGTCTCCGATCCCAACCGATTTGCACCTTGCGCTATCCTCCCGTCTCCCGCAGCAATTCAGCTCACGCCTCTCCTCATCTGCCGCGGCCGCAGCGGCGGCTGCAGGTCGACCGAGCGCCGGCAAATCCGGCGCCTCTTCTGGGAGCGCAAGAAAAAGTGCTATTAGCGAGTCGCCGCTGCTTGCCACTAGCGACAGCCAGCCTCCCCGCTTTAAACCCTCCGCCCGCCTTCGGCCGCAAGGCGTTACTCCCGCTTCCGCCGATTCGCATGCTATCCCCAATGCTAAGCCCTCGACTCGCCGGCGAACGCGGACGGCTGCTGCCACCGGTGCTGCTTCCGGCGTGCCTGTAGCGGACGCGCTAATAACGGGAGCCGGTGCTTTAACCGCGGAGGACGCGACTGTAGCGGGCTCAGCAGGGTCCTCGGAAGCACCCGCGCGGGCGCAGGCGGAAGGGGAGGGGGAAGAGGCGCAAGGAGCGCGGGGCGCCGGGGCGATCCACGTAATTACGGGGCCGATGTTCGCGGGGAAGACGACGGCGCTGCTGGCGCGCATGCACGAGGAGATGGGGCGCGGCAGGTGAGACGAGGAGATGGGGCGCGGCAGGTGAGACGAGGGGATGGGGCGCGGCAGGTGAGACGAGGAGATGGGGCGCGGCAGGTGAGACGAGGGGATGGGGCGCGGCAGGTGAGACGAGGAGACGGGGCGCGGCAGGTGAGACGAGGGGATGGGGCGCGGCAGGTGAGACGAGGAGATGGGGCGCGGCAGGTGAGTGATTGGGCGCGGCAGGTGAGTGATTGGGCGCGGCAGTTGAGCGTATATCGATGGGGGGGGGGGGAGGTGCACTTACGCAAAAGACGCACTGTTACACCTCGCTGACCAACCCCAAGCTTCTTTTACCTCCCAAACCCCGCATTTAAACCGTAAACCCTGCAACAATTCAACATGTGAGCGCGTGATGGTGATGAAGTCGTGTGCCGACACGCGGAACACAGTACATGACACTGATGGCTAAAACCTAACCCGAATTCAAACCCCGAACCGAAGTGATAATTCATTCTGTAAGTGGATGCATTGAATTGGTAAACGCAGGCGCGTGGTGGTGGTGGTGAATTGTCGTCTGAGAAATCTCAAAATTGAAGCCTTGCTGCGTGGGGCAGGGACGCAGCACATGCGCGAGAGCACCCGCTGATTTGACTTTTGGGTCGGCTCACGAGTTGAACACAGGCTTGTGATGGTGGCGGCGTGAACTCTCGCGCGGAGACGCGGCACACACGAGCAAGGGAGCTCATACTTAGCGTCCCCAACGCTTAGACACCCAAACCATGAACCCGAAATCCCACCATATCTAAACTCCTTTTGGATCCCAGGCGTGTGATGCTGGTATAGTCATGCACCGACACGCGGTACGCACGGGGCGCAAACATCCACAAACTGTAAAGCCCATTCTTATACCCCTTACCTCACACATACATATGTGCATCCCCCAACAATGCAGGTGTGTGCTGGTGGTGAAGTCAAAGGCCGACACGCGGTACGCTCGAACCCATACCCGCCATTTCAAACACCCAAACCCCAAACCCCAAATGCCAATCCCAAACCCCCAACACTGCAGGTGTGTGTTGGTGGTGAAGTCCAAGGCCGACACGAGGTACGCACGGGACACAAATATTTGCAAAACTTAAACCCCATACACGTACGTGTGTGTGCACTATCTTACAGGTGTGTGTTGGTGGTGAAGTCCAAGGCCGACACGCGGTACGCGAGGGACGCGGTGGTGTCACACGACGGGGCCGCCATGCCCTGCCTCGCTGTGAGGAGCCTGCTGGAGGTGCTTAAAGTGGAGGGGGCACACCGCGAGGCGTACGAGCAGGTGAGGTGTGGTGCGGTGTGGTGTGGTGCGGTGCAGGCACAGGTGGAGAGTGCCTTTTTAAGTCGCACGACGGGGCCGCCATGCCCTGCCTCGCTGCCAGGAGCCTGCTGGAGGTGCTTTCAGTGGAGGGGGCACACCGAGAGGCGTAAGAGCAGGTGAGGTGGTGACGAAGGGGTTGAGTGCGGTACTGTGTTGATTGAGGGAAGCACGGGATGCGGTGGTGTCACACGACGGCACCACAATGCCGTGCCTCACTGTGCGCAGCCTGCTGGGGGTGCTTTCACAGGAGGGGAGGGGGCACACCGCGAGGCATATGAGCAGATGAGACATGGGAGGGAGCACCCTGCTGAAGGTGCTCGCTAGCAGAGGGAGGGACACGGTGGTCTCACATGACGGGGCCACCATGCCCTGCCTCGCTGTCAGGAGCCTGCTGGGGGTGCTTTCAGAGGAGGGGGCACACCGAAAGTGTATGAGCAGGTGAGGTGCGGTGCTGTGCTGTGCCGGCTGGCAGAGGAAGGGGCGCACTAACAGGAGATGACTGAGTGCCTCATTGGTCGGCTGAATAGTCGCCTCGCGGTGTGGAGCCTGCTGGATGTGCTGGCAGAGGGATGGGGGAGGGGGAGCGGCAGGGGGGGTGTGAAGGGCAGAGGCCCATGCCTCCCCTCTCCGCCTTGTGTCCCCCTGTCTGTCCTCCTCTCCTTCATCCCACCCCATCCCATCCCATTCCATTCACAGGTGGCGGTGATTGGGGTGCCCTTGCCTCTCCTCTCCACCCCGTGCATTCCTGCCTTGCCCCCCTTCGTCTCTCCCGGTTGTCCCCCAGGCGGCAGTGATAGGGGTGGACGAGGCGCAGTTCATTCACGGGCTCGTGGAGTTCTTTTTTCAGCCGTTTTCCTCTGACCTTGCCTTCGCTCTTTACCGCCGTGTGTGTCCCTTGCCCCCCTCCCCACCCCGTCCCACCCCATCCCACCGCATCGCACCCCTGACGTCATCCCCCAGGCGGCAGTGATAGGGGTGGACGAGGCGCAGTTCATTCACGGGCTCGTGGAGTTCTCCTTGCGGGCGGCGGACCATGATGGCAAGACACTGTTCATCGCAGGGCTGGACGGCGACTTTCGGAGGTGTGTGCCGCGTGGTGGTGTGACGCGTGGTGTGGTGTGGTGTGCTGTGCGGTGGTTTGGCATGTGGTGTGTTGTGCGGTGGTGTGCGGTGGAGTGCAGTGGGGAGCGTTGGGGTGCGGTGGGTTGGCATGCTGACGACAAGGTGCGGGGTGCTGCAGGCCCGAGAGGCCAGTGCTGACCCAAGGCAGCCACGTGTATCCCCATGAAGCCACACCCAAGGCAGCCGCGTGTCGACTCGAATGCACATGCTGCACTTGTGGACGTTTTGACCTCATGCTTGGCTCTTGAAAGAGCCTGTGACTTTCCCTCATGGTCATCGTTTGTGCAAGGCGCGTGTTGCTTATTGTCCCATCTTGCATGCACTCCAATCCCATGTACATCCCATGCCTTGCATGCAGTCCCTTGGTTCCCTATCATGCCCCATGCCTCACCGCATTGCCCCATGCCTCACCGCATTGCCCCATGCCTCACCGCATTGCCCCGTGCCTCACCGCATTGCCCCGTGCCTCACCGCATTGCCCCGTGCCTCACCGCATTGCCCCATGCCTCACCGCATTTCCATGCCTCACCGCATTGCCCCATGCCTCACCGCATTGCCCCATGCCTCACCGCATTGCCCCATGCCTCACCGCATTGCCCCATGCCTCACCGCATTGCCCCATGCCTCACCGCATTGCCCCATTCCTCACCGCATTTCCCCATGCCTCACCGCGTTGCCCCATGCCTCACCGCATTTCCCCATGCCTCGTCGCATTGCCCAAGCCTCTGGAATTTTTGCTCATGGCATGCTTCCACCTTATCAGGAAATCTCTGCTGCTTGCGTTGGTATCTTTCATGGCAGAAAACGCTTTGGTGAGCTGCTGGATCTAATTCCGCATGCCGACTCCGTGACAAAACTCGCCGCCCGATGCGAGATGTGTGGGCGCCCTGCCTCGTTTACGCTGCGCAAGACGCAGGAAACGAAGTTGCGGTTGGTGGGCGGCGCAGAGACGTACATGCCAGTGTGCCGTACACACTACCGGAGCGGGAAAAGTGTTGTCGATCTTACAAGAGAGATAGGAGCTATGCATGATTCGTTAAAGGATGATTCACCATAGTGCATTGCAGGTGACCGTGATGATGTCAGGGGCCCGGGGAGGGCACAGTTTTATGGCGATGCCGATGCAACTGATGCATGCGATGTGAGGCTTGCCTCCGCCCAGCAGTCTACATGTGTGGGAGCATGGGATATAAGATGATGGCAAGTATAATTTTGTGAGGTGATATGTGGTGTTGAAACCTGCACTTTGTCTACTTGCACTTTGTACACTTCAGACATATACAGCATGTGCAGTCGTAACTGAAGTTGGGTGGAGAGCCTGTAAGAAGGTCTCCATTGTTTTAGCACGATCTTCTACGTTTGTCAGCGTACCAGAAACGCCAGCCAGTTGGCATCCTGTCACATGCAACGACATCGTAGAATACGCCAAATTATAACCGTCATATAATCAATGCTTGCGGATTGCGGGCTTGGACAAGAAGAGAAGAAAATGAAAACCGTAAAAACATATTGTGCTGATCTGATCAGTAGCAAATTCGGGCATCTCCCTACTCATAAAATCCCGTTCCAAGGTACAGTACTCGTGGCCGAAATTTCGTCTCTTGCCCGCAGCAGCTGGACGACCCAACTCCGTTTGAGTGAGTTTGAGCGCGTGTGATTGGCAGCAATTCCAACATGTGGACCCAACTGATTACGATCAATACACTACAAGACCTTCAACCTTCCAACATGTGGACCCAAATCACTGTGTTCTACGTCACACCTGGTTCAGTACTCAGCTCATTTCCAGGAGTCACGAAAAACGGAGTGGTGAAGACATGTCGAATGTTTCTAAAAAAAATGTTACTGGAAAAAATGCTTAAAAAAATGAGGTATACCATTACATTTCAAAACTGATACACACTTAAAAACTCACGCGTGGTTATTTCCAAAAGTTTGGTTCTACAGATTTCTTTATCTAGGAGAATTCTTCAGGACTAGTATCCTTATTCTGCATCGTTTTGTGTGTTGCTCTGGGGGAGGGCTGCAACAAACTTCTGGCTGTCAGTGCAAACTCCAATTGCATAGATCAGTGAAGCGGTTCAGCGGAAATGAAGTTTTGGTGTACAGTACAACTTGAATGATTCGGATTGTTTGGATGTGCATACGGGCAGATTCGACAATGTCAACCTTCAACGACCTTTTCCCTCGCTCCTGTGTCTGTTCCCTTCCCCACCTGTTGGAGTGCAACCCCGCTGCTCCGGGGCATGCTACACTCGAGTCAGTGTCAGACAGCTGTCGTCGATTGGTTTGGGGGCCACCCACTCAAATCTAGGAGCATTGTGCATGGGGTGGGGGGGATTCATACAGGTTGGGGCAAAGTGAGGCTTTGTGTCAAGGCTGTGGCAATGTAGACGCGGTCGCAGCACCAGTGACAACTTCCTGTCCGCGTATCTGACCCAACTTTCTGTACACATGGACTAGGGCTGGGAGGTGGGGAGGAGGCATGGACTAGGGCTGGGAAGGACGGGAAGGTGGTGGAGGGAGAGGGCGGGAGGGAGGGGGGCTGGAGAAGTCTCAGGGGACGTCCGAAGTCTGCACTAAATTTCAGGGACCTGACGAAATTACAGGGGAAAAAACCTAACAAGCCTGTATATCCAAGGGAAACAGAGCAAACGCCCCGGTGTCGATGGGCTTCGTTTCAAACCGTTGACAACAGGCAGCTGTTGGGACTCCCCCTCTGCAGCATGGTTTCTGGTGTCATGGAAACCGTGTTATGTCTGCGGCTTTCACGCGCTTTTCCGCCACTTTGCGTGTCATTTTCTCTTGTCTACTCTCTACTCTACTGCCCTTCCATCCCACTGTCTGTCGCGTTCCACCGACCCATCCAAGCATCAGGTGATTTCAGGATGTCGAATCAGCGGAAGCTAGATCAGACCGCGGCGATGATCGTTTTCAAAATTCCGATCGTGGCAACTCCCTTCAGCCCGACGGAGCCTAGGGTTTGCAAGTTCTTTTCTTGCCACAGCATCATGATTGACCGTTACTACCATCCCAAGTACAAAATTGCGGCGCAACTACTACCGCCGCCCGCGCGCTTACGTGGACATTCCGCATGCTAGCAGTATAGCTTAGTTCCGCTCACCCGAGTCATCCGCAGCGCGGCAACCCCAAGGTCCCCCGTGTCCCTGTCGGACACGACGAGTCGCGGCTTCGGAGCCGGCCTGACCCCGGCTTCGGAGGGCCTCCGCGACTTACCGTTTGACTCCTCGAGGCTGTTTGCTCGAATCTGCGCGATTTTCACCTCTGGCGAGTCAAATTAGTTATACTGCCGCGCGAGGATGATTCACATGCCGCCTCCGCGTTGTGCGGCGCCACCGCCGCCGGTGCCGGCGGCTTCTGAGACAGCAGAGTCGATGCACTCAGCTGCTGCACCTGGCGGCGCTGGCGCTGGTGCTGGCGCTGGCGCTGGTGCTGGTGCTGGCGCTGGCGCTGGCGCTGGTGCTGGCGCTGGCGCTGGCGCTGGTGCTGGCGCTGGCGCTGGCGCTGACGCTGGTGCTGGCGCTGGCGCTGGCGCTGGCGCTGGCGCTGGTGCTGGTGCTGGCGCTGGCGCTGGCGCTGGCGCTGGCGCTGGCGCTGGTGCTGGTGCTGGTGCTGGTGCTGGTGCTGGCGCTGGCGCTGGCGCTGCTGGCTCTCCCGCGCCTAGTGCTGGTTGGATGGTCAAATGTGAGCCCCTCTCAGCCTCCAAGGGAATGATCGAGGACGCGGGGGCGGCGCAATCGTCTCACGCCGCCACCGCATTGCAGGAGCAGCAGCAGCAGCAGCAGCAGCAGCAGCAGCAGCAGCAGCAGCAGCAGCAACATGAGCACAAGACGAGCAGTCACGGTATGAGATTTCAGCATGTGCCGCTATCACCGGCAGCACCGAAGCAGGAGGCGCAGCAGCATGGTGCCGCCTTGGCGCGTGAGGTGGCATGCGGATTATGGGATCCGCCTGTGGCCGAAGGTTTTGATGGAGATTTGCCACGTCAGCAGCAGCAGCAGCAGCAGCAGCAGCAGCAGCAGCAGCAGCAGCAGCAGACACCTGAGTTGCATCAAAACCATGAAGTAGGTGGTTTCAAATGGAAGAAGACGTCGCACAAGCGAATAGCGGGTCAGCCTGTGAAGAGGTAAGCACGAGTTTCTGAATGCATGAGCAAGAGAGATCACTCTTTGCAGGCACAGCTCATTGAATCATGCACATCATGTCATTGACGGGCGGGGCTTCAGGGCGTACGGTGCAAGTCATAGGCCGTTGCAGCTGTGATCAATGCAGGTGGACGGCTCAGCTCGGCTCGGCTCGGCTCGGCTCGGCTCGGCTCGGCTCGGCTCGGCTC